GACTCTGAGACTCTGGGACGACGTAAAGTACTGTAAGTAGTGGGGGAGCTGCTGATGGATTGACGGGATGAACGAGGATGAGACTAATCAAGTATTGCAATAAGTGCACGTTGAAAGTCAGTCCGTGAAGCCATTGTCAAGTACTTAGTATTCCCAGACTTTGGGATGAAGCGTACCTACTTTATTTCGGGAAGGTATTTGCATATTGTCTTTCGCAAGCCTTGGCTGATGACGGAATAGATGAAAGTTTCTTCCCAACCCAAGTATCGCTTGCTATTCTTCCTTCTGATCTAAGAGATAAGCCGTGCGCATCAGGAGCCAGTGAGATCTTGATTGATAATTTGGGCTACCTACTCTGCTTCACATCGTCTTTACCGCGTACGAATACCTACACAGCCGCAAGCAGTGAGTTTCGTCTCTTGTAAAAGTACCCGCAAGTATCAGGGGAAGGCCAGGATCCAACAACGAACCAATAGGCGGATACGAGAATCCCAGGCGGTTCCCAGGCGCTGCGATCCGAGAGTGAGACACATGCCGCTGGCGCATGTCAGTGCTCAGATGTGCCGCCCAGTTCCTGTTCCAAGGTGTCGGTACGCCCGCTCCAACCCACGGAGAAACGGCGCCGCCATGCCCGATGAAGAATGTCGGTTATGTCCCCGGGTCTTGGGAGGTCTTGGGTAAGTCTTGGACTTTTCTTGGGCCATCGAGAAAACGCCGCAGCTATATATTTGCCAAGATAAAGCATTCGTGGCTGTTAAGATGGGCCAAGATGGCTTGCGATGGCCTTGGCAACATGTAATATCATCGTCCTGCGCTCCAGGCTCAAGCACAGGACCGCAGGTTCTCCATACGGAGACCTACGCTGTACACATGGCGGGCAAAGCTAGTTTCAGTCCTCGCCTACGTTTGCCGAACCAGGACACCGGTATGCTAAGGCCCAAAATGCTATAGTCTACCTTACCTTAGGGCGTGGTGCAGTGGCCATCCAACACGGCCTACACAGTCCATACACAGGAGTAAGGTCGCAAGGCAACGTGGCTGTGTGCCAAAAATGCATTCTGGGCACGTCCACGAGCAAACCCCTCCCCCTTCAGTCTTGGAGACTCTTGGCTCGCCAGAGACCGACCTGCGGGTTCATCTCTGGCGGCGTAGGCTCCAATCAAAAGAGCCACAATGACCCAGGCGCATAGTTCTTCTGGGCCCTAAACTTTATCTTGACCGGCATCAACCAGGCAGAGCGCAGTTTACATGCGTCTACGCCGACCGCTTAGCCCTCACCTCAACTCACGATGGGCCTCTCTACATTTGCCGCACCGAGTAAGGCGCGCGCTCTGGGAACCCCGGAGCCCTGTCCCCAATCCTTGGCGTCAGCGTCGTCGCATCACCAACGGTCCTAACTAGTAACCCCACCACTGTCACGGGCTGGCAGCTGCTCGTGCTCCTCACATCTTCCGAATTCCAGTCCCATCTTCTCCGCCCTCCTCCTTCTCTGCCATGTGCGGTGTTCGCAAGTCCGCTGTAGCGAGTTCGGACGATTTCATCACTAAGGAACACTTGCCTGAGCCTACCCCAGCGAGCGGCGGCTATTCTTGAACACGGCTGACAGAGGTTAATGAACATGTGGCCACTAATAGCAAGGCGAGTCAGCCGCTCACGGACATGCGTCGGCGCCGAATGGGCTTCCTCGACACTCTGCGTTCGACGCCAAAGCCGGGTGTCTAGCATTGTTGAACTGGAGCCCTTGGAGGGTCCTCTCATCACTCTTCTTCTTGGCCAAGCTTCACCATCTACCATGTGGCCAAGACTAACATGTCTACTCAATATCGCGGGATGTGGTGTTCACGCGGGATCACGCCGTACTACCTACCTCCACTAGCATTGCGACGCCTTGCGCCAAGCGCTCGCCAGTTTGACTTTTTGATGACAACCTATTCCGGCCAATCTTTCGGCGTCCTTCTCCAGTTGTCATCGCGGCAGCGTTCGCGGTGCTTCCTTTGGACCTGACTTCATCCGGGCGTGGAGAGGACCCCCTTCCGTTCTCGTGATGTGTTTCCCATGTCCTGACTCTTATCCCTGCCAGTCTCCCCCCTGGTTCCGTCCACGATTGATCATTGCCAAGCACGTGTTCGCAAAGAGGTCCGCCCTTTCCAACCTCAAGCAGATAGTTGGCAGAAGCCTGCCAAATCCTCAAAGGGGCTTGGGTTTCTTGCGGCTTGACCAGGTAAACCTGCCAAGACGTTGCTTTCTACGCAGATTGGTGCCATCATGGCTCCATGAAATTAATATCGCATCTCATTGTCATAGCTTCCCGCTCCTTACGATTAACTACCACTCTGCAGTGCTGGTGTATATTTACCTTTAGATCTCCCGCTGTCTAATCTGATGTTTCAAAAAGTCACTCTCGTCTCACCTCATTCTCACTGGGAACCAGTCACTCTTTTAGTATTCTACCATACAATCGCTCGTCCTGTACAATCTCTATTCTCACTCATCATGAAGTCTGCCACTCTACTCTCCCTCATTCCTGCGGTTGCCGCCTTCTGCCACCATGGAACCAGCCTTTTCAAGAAAGATCAGCTTTTCAAAAGAGCTGATGGTACTTTCGGATTCGACGGTCTGAATGGCCCTCTCAACTGGCACTCCATCAGCTCCAACAACTCTGCCTGTGCTCTTGGAAGAAGCCAGTCTCCCATCAACGTTCAACAGTCAAACACCAAGCAGATTAAAGGCTCTACCATCACCTTCAGCCCGGACCAGCACCCCGAGGGAGGTGAACTCGAGAATCTCTCTGGATTCCTGGAGGTTCGCGCAAACGGCACCATGAAGAATGGTGGCAAGACCTACAATTTGCGTCAATTCCACTTCCACACCCCTAGTGAGCACCGTATCAACGGCGAGCACTTTCCCCTCGAGGTTCACTTCGTTTGGGAAGCCGAGATAGGAAACGGTATGTTCTCGCCCTGTTTGACTCCTCGCAATCCCGTCGAACATTGCTAATTGTCACTCAGGATCCTCTCTCGCTGTCGTTGGCTTTCCCATCGAGGTCGCCGAGAAGTCGGACCCTCTCCTGGCCGCCGTCTTCAAGAACGTCGACAAGGTCACCGAGTTCGGATCGCACGCTGCAACTGGACCTCTGGACTTTACCAGCCTGGCTCAGCATATCTCCAAGAACACCATCTACCAGTATGTTCCATCTACCAATCCTTGAAAGCTTCCCCGAGCTTCAGTCTAACTTGTACCCAAGATACACAGGCTCTCTCACAACCCCTCCTTGCACCGAGTCCATTGCGTGGAACGTTGTTGGAAGCCCGATTCCCCTCGACATTGCGACCTACCTGAAGACGAAGAGCATCATGAAGTACAACGCCCGCTATACCCAGAACAGTCCCGGTGAAATGAACTTGTTGGAGAATGCATATGAGAGCCTCAAGAAGATTATCGAGAGTGGTCAAGGTACGAACTAGATTTACTAGATGATCTTTGCAATTGAACATATTTTCTTGTTATTATCAGTGGGAGCTATTACCATGTCAAGAAGTTGACCAACGAAGCTGCCAAGCTTTCGAGGTTTGGAAACGATGTTCTTATAACAAGCTCTGCCAAGTGAGACATGAAAGTCGCTAAACTTGGGTTCAGTCGCAGATCCCGTGGAAGAAAGTCCGTGCAAGAAGGGCAAAAAGGGCGGGCGCAGGAACTAGGCCAGTTGAACAATAATTAGCCCCCTGCAGAAAAGTAGAGGATTTGGCTCGAAAGTTAACAATCCACATATTGACGTAAGGAATGCTGCGTCGGACGCCAGGCATCGTTGAACGGAAGGAATGTAGTAATGGATAATGGGCAGTGGGTACGATTTGGAGGAGAAGTTTCTGAAAGCTTGCATCTCTACTTTTCCAGTCCCAAACGCTTAATCGCCTAGAGGTCTTCATATTTCAATGTATTCATAGTTGTTTAATAACTAAATCATGTATGGTTGTTCTCCCGGCTACTTGAAAATGGACTCAATAGCATCCATGCACCCGTTAAACATCTCCTCCAACATTCCGGCAAGAACCGGTTGAAAGCTTGGCTCCGTCCATTCAGAAGCGCCCGACCAACTGAATTGCGTTTTGTCCTCGCTTATGGCTGTCAATTGCAGCGTTCCGCGGGGGTTCGTCGTGTTCGGGACGCCGTCAAGAATTAGGTAGGTGATGGTGTGTGTCTCCGGATCGGCTATCTCCAATCGTTCATGAACCACATGGCCGTTGTTGAAAGTCAGTGTGCGAACTGATCCAATACCGAATCCCTCAAGACTGGACTTGATAACATTGGGAAACCAAAGCTTCTCGGAACCAAAGGCTGCAATTATTGCCCAAATGTCGGCGATTGGTGCGTCGATCACTCTCACAACTTCCTTCGTCTTGTCCTGTGCCATGGTGCCGGAACCGTCGGCAGTGGAAGATTTGAGATGAGGTTGAGTTTAACTTGAGGGGACAATGCTTTGATTAGATCAAAGAGATCAATATTCCCCTGGAAACATATTGCGTATGTGCGCCGGTAGTTTGTCTCTTTTGAAGTCCGTTGCAGCCGGTGGGATATGATTAATCAAGCCTGTGGGATGCCTCTTTAGCCCCCGGCCAGTGCCCGCGGGTTGCGACGGAGCGATGGCGGACGTCGCTGGCGGACTTGGCGCAAATAAGATCCGAGCTTCAAATGCCAGGTTTCCTTAACTAAATGCTTGATTTAATATACTTCTATAAATTGAGCTAGGGTGAGTAGGGTAATAGTGAATGAACCTCCTCAACTATCTCTTCAAGGCATTAAGGAAATAGAATAGCTCAACAACAGTCTCTGGTACCTGAAGTTTTCCATTTGAGCACTGAGTAGATACTAATACTGGCAACTGCTGAAAGTTGACACTATGTCAGGAGTCACAAAGGAACATGAAGACGACCAAATGTGAGCCATACACAGAACGGGGGCCATTGACTTTGTCAACACAGACAATGTATCTTGTTATCAATTTATTTCGGTACTTGAGGGGTAATGACGATTTCTCCGGGTTCTCTCCTCTGATCTGCAGCATTCCAAGCATCTTCCCAAGCTTCCAACGCAAACGCTCTGACTGGGCCCATGCCAGCTCTATTCCCAAGTGGCAGGATGCCGCTTTCCACAAGTTTGATGAGTCGCCTCGTTTGTTCTGGAGTACTCATCATCGTGCCTTTGACAGTAAGCGCGCGGAAGAGAATGTCAACGTAGCTGAAGTTCACATCAAGCGGGGCGCCGCCACTGAGACTAACACGCGCTCCGATCCTGAGTGCCTCAAGGCAGCTCTTAAAGTGAGTTGAGGAGGCAGCCCCGGCCGGTGACATGTCCCAGAATGCGTCAGCTAGACCTCCACACGCTCTGCGTATAGTGTCGGCGTCCCTTGCAGTATCCCCGGTAATGGTCGCGAACGAGATGCGTGGATTCATTGCGGCAAGCTTTGAGAGATTGTTGTGGTTGCGGCCAATAGCCACAACCCGTGCACCCAATGCTGAGGCGAGGTGTACCGCAGCTGACCCGTGTCGACCAGTCGCTGGGGCGATGAGTATGGAATCTCCTGGCTTGATATCGATATCTGATAGTCCCCAAATGGAACAAGCATGCTAAACAAATGTGTTAAGTCCAGTAGAGTATAGCCCAACCCACTCTGGCTTTCATGCCCCAATAAGCGGCTTTCGTCAAGAACATGACAGTTCTCGATCGGTAGCTTGGCGTAGTCTGCATATATTCCATCCCGCCAATCTCCGCGCGACAGTTTGAAGCTTTCAGGAGTAAAACCCTCCATCATGGCGGAAATATAAAACCCACCCCCATCGCGTGCTTGAATGTAAGGATCAAAGAAAACAAGCTGGCCTTCTTTTAGAATGGTGACATCTGAAGGAATCTTAGACACCCTTCCAATAGCGGTATGCCCTGGGACGAGTGGGAAAGGCAGTGGATATCCACTCTTTGGGTCCCGATAGATTCTCGGCGATTTAGCTCTGACAGTGGCAGCCAGCACGCGGATCACGACACTTCCGGGAGTCACTTCAGGAATCAGGCGAATCTGCAATTCTGCCCTAAGGTTCTGCATGCCTTCTACCTTCTGGAGAAGGACTACACGGTTTTGGATCGACGGAGTGGAGGTCATGACGATGAGTGTTGATGTAGACTGTGGTGTAAATTCTGGAATGAGCGCTAGATTCAAAGACCTGATAGACCAAGAGGTAGATGTAAGTAAAGCAGCAGTCACGACAGATTTCAGCAAAACGTTTTCCTTTTAAGCTAAATTAAATAAAGTATTCGTGGAGCGGAGTTGTCGATGCCGCGGAGAAGCATAATATAGCCCTACTACCACTTCGTGCCTTAGGAACATGTCTGATAATCGCTCTCCCAGATAACTCTATGTAAGCTCAACTACCACCATGCGGTGGAATGTTTGTGTCATACTTTGGGAGGGCCTCCTTGGCAAAGATAAATTACTAGCACGATGAAGTGCTATGGCGGAGTTTCAGGTAGCCTGGTACATGTATAAAGATGGACAACGACCTGCGGAGTTTCTGGGCTCCAAAATCAGGCTGGTAAAATCAACTCCGCAGCCACTTTTGTCAAATTCCGCAGGGGAGGCTCGTGTTACAGGAGGAGGTAGTATATTCCATGTGTAGGAAACGAGGCACAGTCTTGTCAGTTGGCGAGGTAGTTGTTCTTTATTTCTTTTTAGCATTATACGACAGTCCATGTCAGATACTGCCAGACGAATCAGGGGCATTATTTTTGCGGTGTTGTCTACGCTGATATCTCCTTTCTGAATGCGAACTAAAGGTGCATAACAATAAGTTGAGCTAGGTTGGGGCGTTTCTGAGTTTTGGTGATATCTAAATGTTATTTGGGCTGTCGTCCATAGCATAAAAGCCTGTGTTCCGTTTTCGAGCCGGTTATGTGATACTAAGGTATTAGCTGATCCGTTATGAAGTTTGTTAATGACCGCAAAGTATGGCGACACCTGGTTCTGCTAGCTCTGAAGTTGGGTGGAATTTATTTTACGTAAGCAGTTGATAATTGCATCAGCCCCTCATTACCTTAGAGGTAAAGAGTACTTGGTGGCTTCAATGCGCGTTTTCCTTTTCCTTTTAGCATATCCAATGCCTGTCAACTCGTTCCAATGGCCAACGCTGCTTGCGCAATCAATACCCTGTCTTCATTCCTATCACATGAGGAGATCGAAGATGTGGACGGTCTTAACCAGTTCTTCCGTTCTCTCCCGAACCCTGCTGCCCTGAGCAGCCTAGAACAGCACCAAGCGACCGATGTCATCGTCTTTTGTGCCTCTTCGGTTTTGTCACTTGCGGATGTGGTTTTCTCGGCAGTGGCTACGAATGGGCTAGAGTCGAAAGAACAAATTTACACGTATGCAGATGCCGCATTCCTGTGCGATTGATTACATCTTCTTGACCATGTACTAATCCCCGTATCTAGAGAGGGAAGGAACACAGTTCTGGTGTTGTGTGGTGGCATCGGCCACTCGACGCCATTTCTATACGAAGCGATCGAGAATCATCCGGTCTACAATGTGCTTGCCGATGAAGTGCAAGGAAAGGCCGAATCGCGTGTCCTGCAGCTCATAGCTGAGCGCTGGTACGGAGTTCAGATCCATGACGTTGGATCTGTAGAAGCAACAATCCAGCCAGATGATACGAACAAATTCTTGGTTGTAGTTGAAGACCGTTCTACAAATTGTGGAGGGAATGCAGCCGAGTCAAAACGAGTCCTTGAGGCCTGTGGGGTCTACTCACCGAGGTCCATTGTCATAGTGCAAGACCCGACGATGTCAAGGCGAACGGTAGCCACCTTTCAAAGGGCATATCAGCAACAATCTAATGTGTTGCCCCAAATAAAGAGCTGGCCCACGTTCACCCCCCAAGTTAGATTCATCGACACAACAATGGACAACGTTGATAAGGATGTCATGGCTCAGCTTGTATTTGATGGCGAGGAGTGCACCCATAAGACAAGAGGTGGCATGTGGAGCATAGGCCGATTTGTTGATTTACTCATGGGGGAGATTCCTCGCCTTAGGGATGACGAAGCGGGCTATGGGCCAAGGGGGAAAGATTTCATAGTTCATGTGACTATTCCAGAGAGCGTTGATGTTGCCTGGGCGACGCTCTACAACCTTCTCGGGAAACAGCGCAGGAGCTGATTGAAGGGATATGATTAACGGTAATAGAGTTGCTTGGAATTTGGTCGGCAATAACTATACTGCATCTGCATGAGAGCCTGGACGCCGATGCATAATCAGCGCATCACGTACATAGTAGGCTTTCGTGATAGACAGAACACACTTTAGGAGCAGAACGTCCTCCAAGTCTTACAAGCTGTCGGCTTGGCAATTTGCGAGGCTCCCGAAACCATTTGACAGCGGGTTTGTTCTGAATCCCGGCGGGTATTCTTGCATCGCTTGGAGGTGTCTACATACAATCTCAACTCAGCACCATCCAGAAAAAAACAACAACCCCAAAACATGATATCTATTATGTGTTATTCTTTTGACAACTACCAAAGTCTGCAAAGATGTCTCGGGCGCGAGTTTTAACCAAACTTCGGGGGCTCTTCGAGAGACACTGAGGCCGATGCCCAATGCATGTTGATTTTGCCAGCCCAATGAAACCAGACGAATATAACATAGCATAATTATTCACCGCTGTCGTTCAACTTGTACACCCACACGGTGGCCCTAGTGTGCTTAAAGCTCTTGGTATTTGGTTGATGTATCGCATTAAGCACTATGTTTTGCGTACCCAGCACCCCGCGAACCCTCTCATCGTCTTTGTTGGTTCCTTCCATTTCGAATCGACAGCGTCCATGAGATACTGTGAGCAGTGCTCGGTATGCCCAGGGCTAGTGACGATGGTGTCAATTGCAGCCCGCTCGTCGTAAAGAGCGTAGAATTGGCGTCGCCACATGATAGCGCAGTGGTTGATATGGTCCCGGATTGAAGTCCAGTAAAAGTCCCTTTCTGACATCTCATCGATGGTCAACTGCTGCGTCATGTTCTTATCCGCAAATGCACCCCAGCTAGCATCTTCTTGATATTCGTCGACCGAGTCTTTGTCAAAGCACAGAGCCGGGACCCAGTGATTCAACAGGACATCGTACTTGCAGCCTTTGGCTCTTGCCTCTTTTGTCGTGTTACCGCAAGAGATTCTTTTTCTACCAGTGGTTATATTGTGTCGCTGGCCAGTCCCATAAGAAGCTGGCGACGGGGAAAGGGCAGCGTCTTGGGAGGCGGTCGTCGCAGCTGGTGCTGGAAAGAATAGAAAGAAGACTAGTATCCATACTAGCGATGTGCCTATGAGTACAAGAATATGAGAAAAAAGCGTGTTCCGACGGGTCGATGGCCGGCTTGGAGATGTTGGCTCTTCGGTCGTCGGGTCGTCCGAGTATTTGAGAAAAGGCTGATATTCGGGGGTTGAAGACATTCTGGGTGTGATGTTGCATGCAGCTAGCTTGATGGTCAGATGGAGCACCAATACTCGGCGCCAGCCGTACCTGCAAGGAAAACTCTCTATCTTTATTCAGCTGGTTCAATTATCCGTGCACAAGTTTCCTGCTGATTTCTCCTCGAAAGGGCTGTGCGTAAACTCGCCTGTGACAAGAATTGTTTTGGATTGCCACTCACCGCACCAGTATCGATAGTTGACGCGCTTAGGGGCTGTTTCATCCAAACATTCACCATGTTGGCCTGACTTCATGTTTCAGCAAGGCTGAGAGTCCATTGGGTACTTTGATGTCTCGCGTTGCTGCGCCCCGCGCGATTGGATTGTCAGTCCAGACTCGGACCATGTCCTAACAATAAGGACAATTGCTTGAGCGCACTGCAATATTAAGCTCATGGATGAGCTTTCTTTGCGTGATGCGATCGACGCGGAAGGAAGGATAAATCGACCTACCCTAGAGAAGATCTTACAGTCAGGAAGATTCTTTTGACTACCTTACCAAGGATCCAAATTGTGCTTCCCGGTGCTACACCACGCTGGCAGTGGCAAAATTAAGATAACCTCTGTGTTGGCAATGTCTAAGACAATCTTATGCTGTCATAATTCCAAAGTACTTGGGCACATACTACCTAACGTAGAAAACCGCAGCGTCACAGGCCGTCATAGCAATGACGGGTACCTCAGATAACGGAATCAATTGTCCTTAGTCATGTCGATCAAAAAGACGTGATAATATTGAAACGATGCTAGTAATTACTCGTCGTGTCTGTAACCCTTATCCTATTTATCCTTGTATCTAGATGTTGTTTTTTTCTTTTTTTCTTTTTATGTTTAGAGTATCTGCGAATAGGTAAGTTGTAATCAAATAAAGCACCCTACCAGAACGAGGGAAATGATGCATAGTAAAGGACACCTACTTGAACCACAGCAGTCATAGGATACTAAGACACGCCAAGGTCGAATTGAAAAGAAGTCAGAAGGTGAAAGAGCGTTCATTCACTCCCATAAACAGATTATCTAACATCATACAGGTCAAAAAATGATTGACTGCATTCATCATTTGAAACTTCCTAGGTAAGACATCCAACACTTGCATCATCACCGCTGGTCATGCTGATTTGCATTACAGGTACGCTACATCTCTTATTCGAGGAAAGTTCTTCAAAGCGGTATGACCATCTAGCTCCCTCCTTTCATGATTACCTAGATCACCTATTGCTACGTTCTACTCCCTCGATCCACCCCACAGACTAGTCCATCTGTATCTGCAAAGTGATAATGTATAAGTGTCGATTTGGGGCTCTCAGCAAAATGCGGTTCACTCTCAGCCTTGCACCACAAACCCTTTCAAGCTACCATCAGCCCACTTGTCTACAACTTGTTCGAAAGCCACAGCCCCCATACTAAAGCCCACCGAGGGTTCCTTTGTCCTTTTCTCTTTCTTGGGATCCTTGTAATCCATAAAGTACGTTGGGGTGCAGGATACCACAGGAGCATACCATGAAGCGTAAGGCTTCAAGCTCTCCGTGTAGCTTTTCTCCGCCTCCTTGCTGACCTCGACCTCAACCCTGTTGATATCAGAAGCATTCTCGCAGGCAGACTTGGCAATGTGAGCGACTAATCTGCCTCCGACGGTGTACGGGTAGGTCGTGTTTGCCGAGGAAGTGGCACCCTTTGCGGTAAAGAATAGTAGGTTAGGAAAGTCGTGTGTAGCCACGCCCATGAAAGTGGCGAACTCATCGCTTTGCCATTTCTCCGTCAGATCGCGACCGTTGCGCCCCCGGATTGGCATGTTCAGTACTTGGGCTGGGTCTCCATCGACGGCAGTCGTCGTTGCGAAACCTGTCGCAAGTACGAGAACGTCAACCTCGTACTCTTTGGCCAAGTCGCCCTTACCGACCAAAACGCCTTTCTCAGTATAACCAGAGATACCCTGACCATCGGTATCAACGAGACTGACGTTTGGACGGTTGAAAGACTTGAGGTAATCTTGATGAAATGTCGGACGCTTACACCAGCCGGGGTACCAGGCCTTCAGTTTTTCAGCTAGTTCCGGGTCGGCAACCTCGCGCTCGACGTGCTTGCGGAGCTCACTTGAGATCCCCGCGTCGAGTTCCAACATCCGCTGGAGATGCTGAGGGACGTTTTCGGGGGTGATATCTTTCGCCCGGGGGCTTCCAATAAGTCCAGCGAACGTGCGTGCATTACTCCATCCGTCTTTGACGAGGTCATCGGCAGGAGTTACCTCCGGGTGGTCGTTAAGAAACTTGTTCAGGTTTCTCATCCGATCGGCCTGCCAGCCTGGCCGGCCAGCTACAATGTCCCAGCTTTCCGGGGTCGTCTCGACTTGCTCTCTTGGTCCACAGTACGAGGGCGTGCGCTGGAACACGTAGAGCTGCTTCGACCATTTGGCCAGCTCGGGGACAGCCTGAACAGCGGTCGCGCCGGTGCCAATGATACCCACTCTCTTGTTCTTGAGGTTGACCAAGTCAGGTTGGTCCTGAGATCCGCCGGTGTATTCGTAGTTCCAGCGAGCGGTGTGGAAAATTTCCCGGTTCTTCACGAATACGCTGAGACCAGGAGCATCAGGTGCGCTCGGCGAGTAGAAGAGGCCACCGGCGGGCATGAGAAACTGTGCCTGAACAACAAAATCGCCGTTGAGATGCTGATATTGAGGGCACATATTGCGGCTCATTGTGACAATCCAACGCTTCTGGCCGTCGTCCCATTCGGCGCCCTTTGCCTTGGTACAGAACATACCCTTGATTCCATACTTCTCTGCGATCTGCTCAACGTTCTGACGGATCTCTTGGCCCTTCGAGTAGCGATGCTTGGGAACGAATCCTGTCTCCTCGAGAAGTGGCAAGTAGCAGTAGCCTTCCACATCGCAGGTCAGGCCTGGATAGCGATTCCAATACCAGGTGCCGCCAAAGCCGCCAGCCTCGTCCACAATGACGATATCAGCCGGATTGAATCCAGCCGCGACCAATTGGTAGGCAAAAAGTATACCATTATGGCCGGCACCAAGGATCAGGAAACGGATCTCGGAACCATCACTCAGAGGCGGAGTTTCCTTGGCGAGGGCGTCGTAGTCGGCCCAAGGGTCACGACTAAAGTCGTTCATCAACGAACTAGTCCTGAAGTTGATACGGTCTCCTTGGTTGTCAGAGATGGCGATGAATCTCTTGTCTCGCTCAGCTTCGTATTTGGTGGTGATTGAATTGATAGCAGTCATCGTGAAAAGGGCTCAGGAGATGCAGAAAATCCTAGATTACGTTTGAAAGAATGTAAAGTTCTCTGTTTCTGGACGTGGATGATGATTTAAACCAGATCCTTTGAAGTGCCAACACTTTGGACTTCTCTTATAAGCTTCCATGCGGACTTTAGTGGCCTCTTCCACGGAAACTCGGAGCTGATGATATTGCGGGCCAAACGTTAACGAGCTCACTTGAATCCATTCATAGCTGTGCCTTGGCCAAATGACATGTCATCGGTACCCAAGCAACCCAAGAACACATGGCTCCCCGCGCAGCCGAAGAAGCATACCGCTCTTTGAAAAGCCGAGAGTCTGTGCAGTAAGTTGTCGCAGTCGGATTTCCGATTCAAGCAGGACCAATCATATGTGGCGAAAAGCCGAAATTGAATCCACCTGCCGGACTGCGCACGACGGAGGGACGTCTTACCCTTTGTGATGTCCCGGAATCCTTGTGCAGTGGAGAGTAGCCCGACCCGTATCTCAATAATTTGAAAAAGTTGGATCTGGATTCTTGATTTGTCTTTTCTGGCCGGACCGGGCAGCAGGTGGTGGCAGCGACTTTGCCAAAGTGAATAGGGGCAGCATTTGCGGACTAGCCCAGCTTATTTGGGTGAAATTCTCTAACCACCCGCCTCAAAAGCACGCGCTGGTGACGATTGATATTGTTACGAGTTAATAAGTTTGGTTACAGTGGCCTTTATTGGCCTAATGAAGAGAACCAAGAAAAGGGAAGGGTCTAGGTAGCGTAGGTAGTAGCTCCCTTCGAAATCACGGGGTGGCGCACGTGACGAGTATCTTGTAGATTGCCGATGCTATTTCTGTTTCGTGGCAGACTTTCCGCTAGCCAGGCTCGTCACCCCGAAGCCAAACGATTCGACGCACCACTAGGCTCAGCGTAAGGATGCCCAACTTCCGTCGAAAGTCTTGTCAACAATGTCGGTCATCAAAGTTAGCCTGTGACCGAAGACAGCCCCGCTGCTCCCGCTGTGAGCAACGGAATTGGCCTTGCCGCTACTCTACTACATCGCAGGCAACTGTTCACCTAGAAAAGGGCTATCGGCAGCTTCGGAGTCCGCAGTTGTGCACTACGAGACAAATTTCTGAAGTATCGCCGCTAGATATCTCAAGCATTGAGGCGGCGATTACAAGTAGCACAAGGGATCTCAATGATTGCCAAACAGCTAGCGTTTTCGAGGTCGCCGATACCATTGGTGATATCGGAGTTTTTGAATGGGCTGCTGAGCCCACAAACAGTACCAATGAAACGTCTTGGAGCGATGGCGTTACGGGCAACAGTCCAAGGTTAATATCTACGGGTCCAATAGCTGACACGAGTTCTGACATTGTTACCAACATAATTGCCGACATCAACACACAAATCTCAAGCAGGGCCAATTTTGAGCTCAGTATGCTGGTTGATGTCGACCAGTTACTTCGGCCGCGTAGAAACAAAACTGCAGAAGCCTCGCTTACTTCGAAAATGATGCTGGGAAGCATACGGAGATACCCTGCAATGCTGATCAATGATCTTAACCTACCCCCTTTTATTAGCTCGCCGTGCTTCGGCGACGAGATCCTATGCCAGCAGTCTGGAATTCATCAATGTCTTCCACAGCCATTAGCTACATGTGCTAGTATAGTTCGCATGTTTCCGAGAGAAAGCCTTAGAGACAGATCTTTTGCATGGAAGACCATCTACATGGAACAACAAAGACTTTTTCACGAGGTAGGTCGCATCTCGGTCGTCGGAGAAGGGCCATGGCGATATCAGAGACAGTTTTCAGATACTAATCACAGTCATTGTGAAGCATGAGTCTTACGACAGGGAGACATTGATTGCTGCCGTACAAGCCGTCACGTTGTATACCATTCTCCACGTTGAAGATGTCGCATCTATCCCTGAACACTACCTCAGATCAATTACCATTACTTTGGGCGTGAGTCTCTGTTCCGCGGCAGGATTCATGCACATTCATGGCTGACTGTACTCCTCCGCTTGCTTGAATCTCTAGACTATGACTTATACAATGATGCAGGCTCAAACTGGGGCCAATCACACGCAGCATTATAGTATTCCCAATCGGCATGAATGGATCAGTAACGAAAGCGTAGGGAGGTCAGTCATATTATCGAACAATGTGTGCTCTTTATTAACAACTTATCACTTTTAGACTAACATGCTTTTGCTACGCATTGAACGAGCTCCTAAGCATAGCAATATGTCCTTCTTCCGGGCACGGTGGCGCGACGTGCAAAACTGTACACCTTCCGAGCACACGCAGCCTCTGGCTAGCTAAGACAAACATTGAATGGCAGCGACACTACCTTGAACAGTCATCGCAAAGGGGCTTCAAAGATACCCTCAAAGTCTCTCATCTTCGGGAGTACGCCCGATATGCGGGGAACGCCTTACCAAGGGAGGGTTGGGTAGCGGATTTCGAAAATTGGTGTCTGAATCACGACGAGTTGGGACAGTTCATCTGGATGGCGACGAAATTGGAACCCGTGTAGCATTCTCATTCGTGTGTTCATGTTCTACTGTCTTGAGTGTGGGTTTCCCAAGTCACCACACTGCGACAGCAACTTGATCGGCCCGAAGAGCTAAGTAGCACAATGGGCTCGCGTCCGAATACATAGAGTTCTTCCATCGTGTTATTAGTGAAGTCTGCCTTGGAAATGTGGAAAAGGGCACATTCTCTGATCACGCTCATCAATGTCGACTCGGGAGACTTGCACAAGTAATGGGAGACAGTACGAGCCACGAAAAAAGTGTCAGAACTTGCCCGCCATACTGCTGGGGCATGCAGAATTTCGTGCGTCTTTTTGCTAAGAATAGGTGGTACTATATTCAGCGGCTCCTCGAGGGGGATTGACTGAGGATAGACTTTGTATAGTTTCTTTAGCATTCAATTACGTATTAGTTCCCATAATCGCTTTCAGCTATCTTACCAAGTATCTCTCGATAAGAATACAATTAATTCCTAATGCGTTGCTATACCTTTTGACTTGCGAATATAGCCTATAGCTTTTCAACTGCCACTTGTAATAACTATTGGTGAATAGCCTTCGTATGACTGTGCCGAGGTGTAAATATAAGTGGTCCGAACTCATTATGATCAGTTGCATCAGAATCACCGCCTTGGTCTGCGAGGAACTTGACGATAGGTGCATACATATTCTAACCGCAAGAGATATGGGTGTCTGTCCCCGTTTATTGGGTATATGAACATGAAAATTTGGTTTATGTAGAAGCTTGACCACTGATTTGTGTCCTTTCTCTGCTGCTGGGTCAAATGTCTGACACCCTCCTTCATTAAGCCCGTCGAACCCACACCGCAGACAAGCAGCTCTTCAACAAACGCCAGTTGTCCATACAGCTTCAGATACCAGAGTCCTCTCCATACACTTTTTATTGTTCTTGTCAGAAGACTTGAGTGCTCTGCTGGCTCCAAATATAAGGTCTCCGTCCTCTGGAGCTTTGACCATATCAAAATGTCGGGCATAATGATCTCTGAAAGTTGATTCCTGCGCATGACCATAGAAGCAATTCCGATTTCCGAGCTTTCGCCGGAAAAAGGCCAATTGAAAAGAATATATTTCGACTTTGTTTGTGCAGTATGGGTTAGCTCGGATATGTAGGAGGCACATGGCAACATGAAGCTCATGCGGTTGTATTTGGACAGCGTGATGTGGAAGTGTGTATCCGTCAGTTCCAGCCGCGTGAAACTAAATACATGTGAGACAAGCACCTCTATTGTCTCTCCAAATCGGTATACTTCACAGGAGATTAGCCTACCAATTTGACCTTAAGATGATTATGTTGAATCCACTCATATCTTGTTGCCGCTGGTTCAGGCGGCCCATCACGAAATGTAATGCTAGCACCGTTTGCGATCAGCATCTTTGCTGCTGTGAATTGTGTTTCACCTGATGACACAGCCAAAAATTCTTCGAGGAGAGCGCTCGTCTCAAAACTTGGTCCCTCAGCATGAAGCTCCTAGAAGAGCTCTCGACCTTCACGTACTGCAGCAAGAGCGAGCGGGATGCAGATCCCTTCTCTTGACCAGCAATCTACTTTTTAGTAAGAGAAGTTGCGGCTGAAATTTGGGACCAAAAATGCCAAAGCAGTTTGTAAGAGATCCCGAAATAGAATTTCAGGACTGTTGAAGAAGAGCATCATAGATATGTGTTCTCTTAGCTCGGCGGAGACCGCCAGAGCTGGCATTGGCAACGGACAGGAGCTTGAATATATTCAGACTTCAAACCTCAATCGCGTAGCAAAAGGCGGTCATTCTCCGGTGCATTTTGCGTTTGATATCGGGATCCACTCCATGTTCGAGCAGCAAATTGGCCACCTGAGTCGAATCATCGACTTTTCCTGAAGAATAGGGGTGAGCTCGTTATGTGTTCTCGTTTTTGGACAAAGGCCAGAGCACTAATGTAAAGCGGGCAGAGAGTAGTGAGAAATGCGTAATACTTCATATTTTATCCCTATATGGCTTCAGTGAACGTATCTCAAGTATTTTAGGAGGAAGAGTCAACATTGCCTTAATGCAGAGCGTGAGAGGAAATGGAGAGGACTCCCGCCCTGTAATTGTAACCAGAAACTCACATATCTGACGACGCTATCGATTCGATGTTCATGTTATCAACAAGCTTGATACAGTTCTCGTTCTTGACTGAATCAACGCGTTCACAAATGATTTCTCAGCAGTTGTGAATGTGCAAAATAGCTAGATGAATTAACGACACGAGCCAAGCTGCAATAAACTGATGAAGTTGCCATCCTTGCGATTTATGTCTGTATGTCATTGCATCTGATTCTAGCGACGATGGGATTTCAAGAGAAAATTCACTGACAGATGATGGTAGTTGCCCAACGACAAGTGTTTCCTTCTGGAGAGTTGCATCCCCTCGTTTTCGTTCTCGTTTAAGTCTAGCTAGCACCGTGGTCAAACTCTGTATCCCTGTGAACTCCATGGACAGTCTTGGCAAAACCTGTGCTAAAATGCGTTCTTTATCGCAAAGCCCACGTTGAATGAACTGAAGTCGTGATCGCTTCCGTTCCGTCATGTCCAGTGAACACCAATTCGCGGTCCAGATGCAAGTTGATTTAATTTGAGTCTATTGTAGATGTATTTCGGCTTTTTTTTTTTTTAGCGGCGAGCTTCGCCTCCTACGTCCCAAAATACCATGTTAGTCTGTGGCAGTGCTCATCTGGATGGGGTTATCCTGAATGATAAATTGCAATGTTTCTCGTATCAAGAACCTATCTTGTAACCTTCACGGTCGAGTTTTCTGCTCTTTTCACATCGTTGACTCTTTTTCTATCTACGAAAAATATGCTGCCCATGATGGCTAAAGCTTTCCTCATCTCGGGTCTTATACATAGCCTACCATGTCTTGCACAACCGTCAGCCGTCTCGCCATCCACAGTATGTCACATGCGCAAGAAGACGAAAGTCATGAAGATGCTAACTGAGTCTTCAGTGCGAGACCATTGACGCTGTTCTTCCAGGCAAAGTAGCTTTCCCGGGCACGGCCACATATAACTCGTCAAATGTGTACTGGTCCGGAAGACAGAATCTGGAGCCCTCGTGCATAGTTCTTCCGGCCTGCGCTGAGGATGTCTCGAAGACCCTTGGACTTGTGACTAAGAGCAAGAGCCCCTTTACCGTCAGGAGTGGAGGACACACCGCATTCGATAAAGGATCCAACATCCAGGATGGGGTCGTCATCAACATGGCCCAGATGAATGGTATCCAAATCTCACCTGACCAATCTACGGTCTCTGTTGGACCTGGTGCTCGGTGGATCAATGTCACCGGTGCTGTGACCCCCCACGGAATCGCCGTCGTTGGCGGTCGCAGCCCGATGGTCGGCATTTCAGGGTTTCTGCTAGGCGGTGGCATGTCGTTCCTCACCGGCAGACGAGGAATGGGCTGTGACAATGTTCGGAACTTCGAGGTTGTGCTCGTGTCCGGTGAGATCGTCAACGCCAATCCATCGAAGAACCAAGACCTGTACTGGGCATTGAGAGGTGGGGGCGGTTCCAGTTTCGGCATTGTCACTCGATTTGACCTTGAAGCGTATGCGCAAGGCGACGTTTGGAGTCAGCTTTCGATGTGGTCAACAAACTACACGACTACGGCCTTAAACATCTTCACGAAAACGGTCAAAGAAAAGTTGCATTCGGGACAAGACTTGGACTCGCATATGTTTTTCGGCTTGACTTACACTGGTGTGGCCACTGGCGAACCTATTCCGACACTTTACGGCTTCCATATGAACCTATCCTCTCCTCACGCACCTGGTGGCGAGTTTGATACAATGAAAGGGCTGTTCCAGCTTCCGATGCCCTTCATCAACAATACGCTCGTTACAGACATTTCTGGTCAGATCCGAACCACCTCAGTAACTGTCTTTGGCGAAAGACAATCGTTTTACGCCACCTCTATTCGTGATGGCGAAAACAGCGAAAGTTTTATGAGCAGTGTGGTCGACGCTTTTACCACCTTTGCAAGTGGGCTCAGGGCTGACGTTGAAGCTCGAGGTGACTCGCTCAATGTTACGATGGTCTTCCAGCCACTGACCAATCCGACATTTGAAGCAATGCAAAGGAATGGCGGCAATGCCCTGGGCCTATACCCCTCGGATTTTCCTTCATATATCGTGTCTGTACCCATGGCTTGGTCCGATCAAGCCCTTGACGACATGATCGATGTAAGAACAAATCAGTTCATAAACGACTTAGACGCCATGGCTCAGAAGCAGGGATTTGGGAATGGCTTTCAGTACATGAACTATTCTGGGAAGCTTCAAAGTGTCATTGAAAGTTATGGCAAGGCCAACCAAGACAGGCTTCGGGCCGTCGCTGCTAAATATGACCCGAATGGGCTGTTGCGGAAGCTCTGGAAAGGCTACTTCAAACCGTAAGGATGGCCAATAGTTTATAAAGACTTTCGGGATCATTGTCGTTCCTAGCAAGAAACCGTTTAAGTGTCAAAGTAGAGTCACTTCTCTAGGACTACTGAAGATATCCTTATAGATTACAGTTGTGGCCTTGAGACTCCCGAGAGCTTCTCGTAGATAGCTCTTTCCAGCTCGTCATATAAGTTCTTTAATACAGGATCTCCGTAGGGCTGAATGTTCACCATCAAACAGGCTGCCATACCGGTTCGAAGATCCATCAACTGCTTTTAGTTAGTTGACTACCGTGCTAAAGGTCTCCTCAAGAACACTTACCCAGCGACCGTTTACCAAAAGAATTCCCGTTTGCCTCTTGCTCAGCACATCTTTGATGTGAATGTGACACCATGGCTATGTTGAAGAGAAGAACTACCTCATGACTCATTACTGCCTGTGAATCATAGCATCAGCATATATACTTGTTTAAACATGGATAGACCTCTTATGCCCTGTTCTAAAAGTTCTGCGTATGCAGACTTCTAAGGCCAATGAACACGTTTTCCCTTTCCTAATAGATCCCTCCTTGATCCTCTAGTAATACCGAATTATATTAGTGAACAATGCGATAACATGATTTAGTTGCGCAGGAAACAACCTTCTTCATTATTCATTGCAAAGTTTCATCAGTTCTCTCACTAAGTAAACCGCTCATAGGATGATCATACTCAGTTGGAATACCACGACCCACTTGTCCAACCTGTGTTGATGCGCTTCTTGCGCCTTATTCTTATGACTTTCTTCGTTCCATATTGATATGCTGGGGGAAAGAGATCATCGTGCTCTCGGTCAAAATACAATAATAGTCGAGGCCCACGGCACATCAAATCAATCCGGCTAACGCTCTGCCGCCCTGGATCGATGCTCGGTCTCGCCTGCTGCACCACTATGGCTCGTAACATTGACATACACTGCTTGTGGCGGCGCCAGAGGCCCTGTACACTGAAAGTGGCTGTCTCTCACTTTCCAATGTTTCGCTGATACCGTAGAGTGCCAGTAAATCCACTCGCAAGGTTGCTGATAGGCACACAGCCAAGTCACACCATCTAATCGAGCCAGCAAACCCACCTTTGGTCACCCCCATCATGTTACGGCCAGCTAGTCGTGGTGTGGCAAATCAGTGAAATTTGATAGTGCAATACTAAACCGTAATCGAATCGTGAACGTGCATAGCTTCTTAGAAGCTATATCTATAAAGCTTAGCGGAGAGTAGGGCTTCGATAATCAACAGTCCTCTTATTAAAGAGACTCTTAGTAAAGATAGCTAGAAAAGATTACAAAGTTAAGTACGATATTAACTGCTGAAGGAGCTATGGGAATCTGTCGTCGAGCTCGGCTCGAATCCATCCTTAGAAAAGTTCCGTTCCTAAACAAGTCCTTTGTGCTCTTGAGTCATCCTGAATCAACCTGATCCGAAATTATTGTTCGGTTACCGAGTCGAGTTGGATCACATCAATCCCCGATGATAATGATCCTATCTTTGCATGCCTTTTACCATGGTTTTATTTCGCGGAGGATCACTAGTGTTCCTCTTCCATCTACATTCATGGTGCGTCGTAGCCGCAACGTGGTTCTGCAGGGTAGGCCCTGGATCTGGCTATGCATGTTTAGGTCAATGTAATGAACAACTTCCAGCGATTTTCAGCGACATGCTACAAAGCTGACTGCAAAACTGTTCATAATCTCGGACCCGTGGTCTTATTCCATACCCCCTGCTTTCCTGGTGAAAGCACCCCGTTGGGGTCGATAGCGTCCTTCAGTAAAGCTGTGAAACGTCTAAAGGCGCCCGCGTTGAAATCCTGATGAGCAGCGGTTGCGTCCATGAAGCTGACGTGCGCGCGGTACTCGAGGTAGCCAGATCTTCTCGTATACTTCATTAGTGCCATCTGGAGTGGGTATAATCGGGCTTTGGCTGAAGGATGGAATATGACAAGATTGATAGCAATGACGTAGCGGTCAAAGACGTGGAAGTCAGCCACAAAATTGAGATCGTTCTCCTCGGTTATTTCTTTCGCGCCACGATACCACTCGTATAATTCTCGACCAGAGGGTGGGACGACAGGCGAATAGGAGTTATGCCACAAGCCTTCACCATTTTTGTGGTCCTCAAAAACAGTTACAGGGTCGAGGCCCGGGACGCCATTCTGAGGCAGGAAGTCAGGGGCCACATCCTCGCCTCGGAGATACTTGCCAGGAGGTGCTGTAAATGTCTCAGCCGTGAGCTTTGCACCCTTAATAAGCTCCAGCCGACGCCTAATGGCCCCGAGCAGACCAGCATGTGCCTCGCGGGGCGCATATATGGCAAATGCGGTGCGCCATGCGGGAATTCTGAAGCGCTCTGTAATCTCAGTGACGATGTTGGCTGGGATGCGGTGCTTCAAAGACGAATATGACCCTAGCATTTTCGATATCTCGTTGCTGGTATGCATCATTCCGGTAATGATGGTCATGGAGTTGAAGAGCTGTGGGGGGTTAGTAATGACGCGTCGACGCATCAGTTCTGTGAGTGCGCCTGTGAGGGGTACAACGTCTTCCTCTTCCATGCAATCTACTTCGATACGGGTGTATGCATCAGGCGCATGGGAAAGATGAATGCCCATTTTAGTGACAATTCCTTGCATGGGTCATGTCTCGTTAGCGACAGATATCGATATGCATGTAGTCACGTACCATAATTGGACTGAAAGAACAGTCCATCAACACCTGGGCCCAGGCCACTAAAATTGTCAGCTTTGGCGATTGCGAAATCGGTAGATCAAGCCCAGTCTGTTGATAACGTACCCTGAATAGAGCGGCCATGTCTTGTTGCCCTCCATAGCTCCCATACCAGTCCTCAACAGATCACCATTAGGCAGCACAACCTCTAGGCCAGATTGCTGTTTGTAATGCACGGCTTCCGGGGTGTAGCCAAATCCCCTCTCCAGTGTATTTCCGATAATAGAGCCCCAACCCAAAGCTGGTACGGACATCCACAAATTCAAACCTCGTCGTTTGATCTCGGCATAGAGCTGCATGAACGTAACACCAGGTTCCACGATAGCGTAAGCGTATTCTTCATTGATTTCGATGATATCTGTCATTCGATGCAAGTCGAGAACAACAGATCCTGATAAAACAGGTGCCGAGCCACCGTACCTATCATAGTAAGATCAGCTGGCATATCAACGAAGGACAACTGGACCAACCCGAGATTCTTCCCTCGCGATATTGTCCAGAGGGGTGTCAGATTATCGTTTGATGCCTTGACTATCTGCTGAACGTGGTCGACAGAGGCAGGCCTGACAGCGGCTGCCGCATGGTGGGTATTACCCAACGGGAAGGGGTCGCCGTAATTGCAAGCACCATTGAGGCCTCTAGGTGCTCCCCAAGAGGGATCCCGCGAAACGTTTTCTGGTCCAACAATACTGGACACAATGTCCAGGAACGCGGAAAGTTTGGCGGGCGAAGTAGCGGAACTTCTGGTAGGAAGAGACATGGCACTGAGGGATGAAGAGATGTCAGGATCAAAATACGGCACGTCGTCACGTAATCTGAGAGGTAATGCTACACATACTTATATGTGACGGAGGGGCAAGCCTGACCATTGCTGGGTTATTCGACTCCGAAGAAATAGCCGAGAGCTCGCTTTGAGGGTGCAAGCGCAGCTTTGGGTTCGCATCCATCATCACCCAAATTTGCGGTCTATTGCTCATCTGTCTGTCGTCGTCGGTGAACTCCGCACCGGTCGCACAATCGGACCATGATAATTGCCGCTGAGGTCAGCGGGATTGCCAAAGCGCCCGTTCTAGGGTCTGTCTATCGATCAGACTCAACCTAGTCATTAGCCGCTCATCAAGTTTCGGCTGAAGCTTGAAGCCAATCACCGGTTCATTACCACCTTCGGTGAGCATGCGGAGAGCCAAGAACGACCAATCCTCCGGTACTTCTCCATTTAGCACATTATAGACAGCAAGTCGCATGTACGCGGCGAATGGGCAGGTCAACGGACAAGGACGGAGATCGCCACGCCGACTACAGAGCATCAATGGCTACCGGTTGCCGATCAACACCTAAAATCTGCCGAAGTTATTGAAATACCATTAGTCAGTGATATTACACTCGGATGTTTTTTGGAGCCTATGAGCTTCATGCGGCATCCGTATCGTCTCCATGGAAATACGGAAGTGTACGGAGTGAAATAGGATCGAGCATAAATAGAATCTCTCCGGTCGCTAGCAATGCCTACTTTTTCTTTGCCGGTTTTCAAAAGCATTTTAAATACTCATCTAGCCTCGGGGGCTCATTGAATCCATTTCAACACGACCTCAATACTACTGGTTAACCAACTGCGCCATCCATGGAGACGGATCACCCCAGACTCAATAACGTCAGTGAGCGGTTTGGGCTCAAATCGATCTGGTCTGCCCATTCAGAACCTTCGGGTCACGGTATCAGAGGTCGTATCGAGGGCGAGGTCAATGACCTTCCTATCTACGGGAGAATGCCCAGTCAACTCAATGGCACATTCTACCGCATCCTTGTAGACCCTTTTTATCCTCCTCCAGAAGGAAATCCACCTATCGAGGGGGATGGGAATGTATGCGCGTTTCGTGTACAAGATGGTCGTGTGGATCTGAGAATGCGATACGTCAGCACGGAGCGACTTCGGTTGGAACGGAACGCAAACAGACGTCTCTTCGGTCTTTACCGGAACCCCTTTTCTCATCACCCATGTGTCCGGGCTGCTATCGACTCAACAGCTAATACAAATCTTGTCTTCTGGGCTGGCAAACTGTTAGCGCTCAAAGAATCGGCGCTGCCATATGAACTAGATCCCAGCACTCTTGAAACAATTGGGTACAACCCCTTCCAGTCTCCAGGCTTGACTTTCTCTGCGCATCCAAAATTCGATCCTTACACCAACGAGCTGGTTGTATTCGGATATGAAGCGAAAGGATTTTGCACAGACGATATTGTTATCTACACTCTCAACAAAGAAGGTGCGGTTCGCGATGAGCAGTGGATCAAATCCCCTTGGTTGGCTTTCATTCACGACTGCGCAATCACGGCGAACTTTATCATTTTGGTCTTGTGGCCATATGAAGCTAATGAAAGTCAAATGAGAACCGGAGGTCATCACTGGCAATACAAGCGGGAGCGGCCCGCAACCTTTATTGTTATTCCCCGGCGCAAACATAGCCGACTGCCAGCTGGCTGGAGCCCTGGTGAACATCGCATATATCGTTGGGAACATGCCATGCTCCTGCACACCGCCGGCGCATGGGAAGAATGGGATGAAAACACCAACGCTGCTAGGATATTTGTGGAATCATCAAGGATGATGTATAACCCCTTCCCGATGTTTGATACTGAAACGGGGGGAAATCAATTCGGGGAGACGAAGGCCGATTATGTACGATGGACCATCGACTTAAGCCAGTCCTCGCAGACTAGGATTGATGACCCCAGCGTGGTAGTGGACCTACCCGGAGAGATGGCACGCATCGACGAGAGATTCCAAACGCAGCCATACAACAACATATTCCTACCTGTAATTTTGCCAAAAAAAGCTTCTTCTGTCCCACCGATCCTTCCCGTGGGGCTAAACGGCTACATGCTCATCGACAAGTCGGGTATCAACACCGGCAGAGGAGTCTTGTTTGATCCTGGTCCGAATTGTACTGTGGAAGAGCCGATCTTCGTCCCCCGGTCAAATGACGCTCTCGAGGGGGATGGTTGGGTCTTGGGGATGGTCCACCATCAAGATGTTGAGAGCAGTGAGTTGATAGTATTGGATACACAGAACTTCGCAAAGCCCGTTGCGGTTGTTCAGCTACCATTTAAAAGTAAGGGACAGGTTCACGGAAATTGGGTTCAATATGATGCGGGATTTCAAGGCTCCAGAATGCAGATGGCACCCGGACAGGAAGCGGATTAGACAACGAAAACATTCGTATTAAATAGACTCGTCGTAGCACTTGGTTGTGAAGAGCGCGCTCTTTCAAAAACATGAGGTTACTATCCTCTCCGATGAATGATTTGTGTGCCCCAGAATCAAGGACCTAACTATGGCACTGACTCCATCGGCGTTAGGTAAGGAGGATAAGGTGTCGGTGGTGAACTTTTCTTTGACCCTCTCCTACCTCGTTAGGCGACGCTTCATTCTAAGGGGATTGCCTGTGCGAAGTCCCGAGCGGTAATGTCGCCCGTGAGGGCGATGGATCTGTCGATGCCGCAAATGGTACGGAGTGTGACAAGCCTAATGTCAACAGGTGATCGGCACAGCAAAGTAGCTCACAGAGGCCAATTGCTGTCAGGGTCGAAGAGATGAGATTCTAAAATCCGTCCCTTTCTAGATGTGTCCTCCCTGCGCTATGAATATACCTGTTCTCGTAGAGAAAATAATTGCCAAATATAGTATCGACATATCGGATATCTATAATCTTGATGACACTGGCTTTATGAAGGGCAAAATCTCAACTGGTATGGTTGTTACAATCGCAGTTCTTCCTCAAGCCGCGCCGTGACTAAGGAAATTATATGTGGCCTTGCTTACATGTACACTACTCCTGGAGATCGTAATACTCAGTCGGGATGAGGTAGTAGTTCGTAAACTCCTCGAGGGTTCAAGGTACCTTTTGCTCCAGTTCTGAACAAGCTTGTTGCTCTACAAATTCGAAAACGCGCTCACCAATCGTCTGACGCGACGAGTACTCTCAACCCTTCCATTTGCAATAATACTACTTGGTTTCACTAACAGAACCAGATATATCTGGCGTCTCTTGTGGGAAGCACAGCCTTGTCACATAGATCGTAGATGGCCTGACTGACTTGGGAAATAGCCACAAGATGTATGCTCTCACCAAATATCGGCAGCCATCCCAGCACCTCGAAGAAGTCCACGACCGCGAATAGTGTTTTGAGAGGTGTTGGTGGGTACACCAGAGAAGCTGACTCTGTTGCACTCGCTGGCAGACATAGGTTGACTGAGGTCATTTCCCACCGTGATGTTATACCTTTAAGTTCGATCGCTGGCGTAGCATTTATGCTTTGTGGTTCGGAAAGTTTCGGTTCTCGAAATGGGTTGTTTTTTTCTTGTGACATCTTTTGCTTACTGTTAAGTCGAACATTCAGTCAAAATGTAATCTTTCACAACCGCCTAAGAACATGTGTGGCAGAAACGGCATCGGAGGCGATGTTTCGTCAATGCAACAGATTCATTGTTTATAGTAAGCATATGTCCAGATTCATTGACAGGATCTAGGGGCTAAGAGCTACATAACATATCAGATATGGTTCGTCTATTGTGTCCTGCTATTCCCTTCTAGAACGTCGCCACGTGCTTCCCTCAATAGCTGCCAACGCTGAGCGAATCCGACTGTGGTGCGAAGAGGCTAGGGGAAGAATAGGCCGAGGCGGGGCTGTTTCACAGAGGCCAAGCTCGTTTGCTAGTGCAAAAACCACTCGGAGGTCACCAAACTCTTGGAAGAGGTCCCAGATCGGCTGCAGGGCGGTCGAGATGCGTCTCACTTCGACATGGTCCCGTCTACGGATGCTGTCCATCAGCGCAACCGACGGTATGGGAAGCACCCCCGCGATCGCGCTGTACCACGCAGAGCCTCCTGCCAGCAGTGGCTCGACTACCAGCCAGTCCGCACTGTATCCGATAGAAAAATCAGAGGGCAACTTTGCGCGAAGTGCTTCATGTCTTTCTTTCGGCTCAGTAGTTGGAGCGGGTTGCTTAAGCGCAACAACGTTCGGCAACCCTGCAATGCGAATAAGAAGTGCATCACTGAAGGTAAAGTTCGTCGTGCTCGGGGTGTTGTAGATACAGATGGGAAGCGAGGTCGAGCCAGCGACTGACTCAAAATGCCGATAGACCTCCTCTTCTGTTAAAGCATTGTATGAGACAGGTGCGAGTAGCAGCCCATCGACCCCTGCCTCTTCAGCATCTCTGGCTAGACACTGAGCGTCGTCCGTCCGAAGTGCACCAGCAGAGACAATGAGTGGTTTTCTGCCCTGTAGAGCTTGTATGGCAGCGTCGATCGCCCGCTTGCGTTGCTCTCTTGTCAGGTAAATGTAATTGCCTGTACTCCCCAAGAGCCCAATCGAGTCGACACCGGGTATATCTAGCCTTTCGATAATTCGAACCAGAGCACCAGTGTCGACAGTGCCATCTGAATCAGCCGGGGTAATCGGAAATGCCGAAAGGCCTTGGAAGATATTCCTCTTAACGCTCATGATGGTGAATGAAAACTAAGCGATGATCCCGAGCCAAGTGATGCGCCTCGAGAGTTGTGGAGATAGATGTTGTGCTGAATTCCAATATAGTAAAGATTGGTGTGTGGGTATGTGCTTGATAGAGGTGAATGGGACTTCGCCCTTGTTGTCAATATATACACATATCTCCAGTGAGCTCAGTACTCGAATCGGGCAGAATCCTGCTGACTCCCCTCTCTCCGCTCACCCAGCCGCGGAACGGTTAACAAATTCATTGGTTAGTTCCCCAATAAGTGGGGAATGCCATGACGGATAGTTCTTTCATTGGGGGACGCCGTGCTCCCGAGAGGTTTGTCTTCCGAAAATCTCCGTCAACGGCCCCAGTAAGCTACCCTACGGCCTCCAGCAGCCAGCCGTAAGATCGGACCAAACGCTGATTGGACAGAGCTCACGACCCGAACTCGTGGAGAAGAATGACGTTGTGGCCGTAAGGCGAAGTAGACATTCAGCCTAGTCCTCTATCCAATGGGAAAGAGGTCCGGTCTGAACCTTCTCAATAAGGTACTTAACTCCAAGGTATCTAAGTTACTTGATGATCCCAACCGCAGTTTCAATTCGCTCTATTATCGTTAGATACACGGTTCCTTCTTACAAATCGATAGAGGATCGAACAATCGCAAGACACTATGCAAGACCTACGAGACAAAGATTATTTCCAGCAACGTGCATCCGACGATATGGCACGGCATCTCCACACCAAGCAGCGAAGTTTGAAGGAAACGCTAGCCCAGGCCTGTCGAATTATCTATCTACACGAAGGCGAGTCAGGCCTTGCTGGACAGATCTCAGCTCGCTCAGATCGTGGGAAAGGATATTATTGGACACTCCGTTTCGGCTTAGGGTTCGATGAAGCAACACCGGATGACTTTATCGAGGTCGACCAAGACCTACACACCGTGTCCGGGACTGGAATGGCGAACCCTGCAACTAGATTTCACCTCTGGGTCTATGCCAGTCGCCCGGACATCAACAGTATCGTCCATACCCATTCTCCATCTGTTGCTTCTCTCGCGGCTGCCAAACAGCCGCTTGTGGTGTGCCAAATGGATATGACGCCTTTTTACGACAACTGCGCCTTTTTACCGGAGTGGCCTGGGCTTCCCATAGCGGATCATGAGGGCGTCATCATTAGCGAAGCCCTAGGATCTAAGAGTTCCATCATTCTAGTTAATCATGGCCAACTCACGGCGGGTGTGACTGTGGAGGAGGCGACTTACCTGTCAGTCTACCTCGAACGCGCTGCCGGCTTACAGCTACGAGCATCAACATTGGGGCCCCTAGCGCCCGTTCCAGGAGACCTGGCAAAGGATGCCAGAAATTATCTGCTCAAAGCCCGTGTTGTCAGTGCAACCTTTGATTACTGGGGTCGCCTATGCGACAGGGTCAATGAGAGATCGAAGTAAGGGAGGTATGGTGGGACAGATGCCATGCAGATTTAGGTTATGACTGTCTTAGGTTTAGGAATTGATATCAATGCTTTCCTTGCCTTAGATGGGTGCGCAGTGTTATTTGGATGTTCTCGCGAAGGGTAGCTTTAGAAACGTGGAAATTAAAATCTGGAAAAGGTTGACTCCATGCCACTGTCCAAACTCCACTGTACACTATGCAGCCAGCACTCCACCTGATGTAGAGTTGAGAAACGGCGCCGAGCAAGTCGTAGGGAATGATGTCCGTGAGCTTGACCAGCTGTATTCCCTGGCATTATGCACTGCGTCAAACATGACAAATGCCATCTCGTCCTAGATTCTGGATTTCTTTACTTAAAGTAAGATTTCGGGGTCTCTTGTCGATTTCCTTAGCAGTCTGTTTTGTTGCATTTGGATTGTGGACGGCGCGGATCGCTAGCAAGCTGGACTAACTATGAGAATCAAGTTTCGATACATTAAACACTGGGACAATCGGCCAAACTCCATACATTGAATAAAAAAGACTGCTGGCACTTTCAGTCGATCTATTTGGTCGCTAGTATACTGCCATGAAGACTAGTTTCGAAAACTTCGTTCTCGTCCGTAAAGAAGTAAAGCGTGGCGCATTCCATGGAGTCAATGGAGTCGAAGTCTAAGGTCTGAACCGGCGAAAACCCAAGATTATGTAAGCAACTGGACTTTCATGTGACCGATGAGACTAGCCTGATGCGCTGCGTCATCTAACCCTCCTGAAGTAATTTTCATAGATCATCTAATAGGAGTCCTCAACTTCTCGCCGAAGAACCTGAGCAGGAAACACCACCGTTAGTCGAAGCATACCATCCTCGGATGTTCTTTACTTCTCTTCGTTATGCACTCTCGATTAAAAGTGGCTGCGGCCTGTAACAATTGTCGGCGGAGAAAAACGAAGTGCGACGCTCAATCTCCAAGCAAGTTCCTCTTGGACAAAAGTCAATCTCAAGCACAAGTCTAACTCTCAAACACCTAGTGTGTCAACCCTGTCGTAGTAGAGGAGAGACGGCCTGCGTATATGAGCGGAACTTTACCGGAGATCAGAGAAGATCATCCAAAATCCAGAGTCGTCTAAGCTCAGGGCGAGCGGCTGAAATCTTGCCGACGCATGGAGACCCGTCTACTTTCGCAGGTACGAATTATCCCAATGATCGGTGGAGGAGAGAACTTTGCTGAAAGATGGAATTGGAGATCCTTCAGCAATGTCGGGTCAGTCCGAACACTTGCCAACAACTCCTGCCTCTTTGCAAACGCACCGTGGCTTTGGAGCTACGGATCTAGCGGACCCATCAAGTCTGCCACCATACTATGTCGATGCTGTCGTGGGGCCGAGATCTGCTTCACAAGCTGATGCTATGACTGGCTCGGCGGAGCATCCATCCGCGAGCAAAGAATTCTTCGGCCAAAGCAGCGCCGGCTCCTTTGTTAGACAAGTACATTCGGTCATCGACAAGCGAGCAGTCGATTTTAGGGATGGTATACAGCCAAACCACCTCAACACAAAAGATAGAATGCAGGACACCCAGCCGACAGATCATCGTGATTACATCCTGCCATCTCGAAGATTCGCCGACAGTTTACTGACTGCTTATTACGATCTCGTTTGGGCCGTGTTGCCTGTTCTCGACAGGACATTTCTTCAAAAGGCTTACGAGGGCTGCTGGCTGGGGTCTCATTGTGCCATTCCGGAGCATATTCTTTATTGTATTCTCAATCTCATTTTCGCTCTTGGGAGCCAATTTTCCGAAGTCGTGGAACCATGTCGGCGAAAGGAGACAGGCCTCTCATTCTGGAACAGAGCCCGTCAACTCTACTGTCATGATGCGCATGACGCGTCACTTGAGCGAGTTCAATGCCTTCTTTTGATGGGACTGTATCTCCAGAGCACCTCCGATACCTACGAGTGTTGGATGACGATCGGATCAGCAATTCGAATGGCCCAAAGCTTAGGCCTACATTCAGGCGCATCATCTACTGGGCTTCTGGGACCTCGACAATATCAGATTGTATGCAGAGTCTGGCATGGATGCGTTTATCAGGATCGGTGCGTTTTTATCCGAAGCCAAATATCCTGAACATTGAGTACAACTTCTGGAACTAATACCACCTAAGCGTCTTGTCCGTGACGTATGGACGTCCAAGCATGATTGCTAAATGGCTGCAGACACCCGATGGGCTACCCTCTATGATCGACGATGAATTCCTTGATACACAGACGGAGCCCTCCGCTATTCGTCCTGATGGCAGCCCGTCCGTCATGGCCTTTTTTCGGAAGACCCTAGAACTATTCGACATCATCAACGATATTTTGATCCAACTCTATTTAAACCCAAAGGAAGCGAGAGTTAAAAACACCCATCATCTCAGACTAGTTCTTGACCTTGACGAACGTCTAGTCGCCTGGATCCATTCCTTACCGGAACACCTGACGTACTCTTATAACAGTTCAGATGAAGCCTTCGCTTTCCGGAGGCAGCGTGTTGTACTTCGTGCACGGTAAGTACAGTCGACCAACACACGGTCCAAAGGTATAATAATGATTTTCGTCTCGCCTAGGTACCTTCAAGCTCGGATGATTCTTTTCCGTCCAATTCTTGCGGATCTATACTTGAGGCCTCAATACTCTCCTGATGATGTAGTCAGCAAAGAGTCTAGCTTATCCCATCACGTTATTGTGCATTGCGCCTGTCTATGCTTCGAGGCTGCACATGAAATGCTTGACGTGCTGTCTACTTACCTTGATCTCGACACTGTGACTGGCCCCGTGCCAGCTTGGTGGTTCAGCGTTTTATGTAGGGTGCTATAGCTCCTTACCCCTTTTCTCGGCGCCGAAGTACTGATCAGAGAGCAATAGACATATACACAGCCGCTACCGTTTTGCTTTCAGAGCGTTTGAGGTCAATTCGTGGACTACCGCAAATTACAAAGTCGTGGACTCAGCATTGGAACTCTGCTATCAAATTACTTGGAGCATACGCGCAGGTCGGTGACTCAGCTAAGCGTTGTATGGCTGCGCTTGGTCTCCTGTCGGCCAAGATCCAAGACGTAGTAGACCACACCCAAGGCGAGAGGAATAACACAGAACAGCAGGATGAGGACCGAGAGATTCACTCAGCGGCAACGTTGAGCGAAGCGTCTGGTTGGATGAATTCTATTGAAGACACCATAGTCCTACCCAATCTTGAGGACATGGACTTTAACATAGATGACTCGTCGTGGCTCATCGACGCGCCTATTGATAGATTCTTCTGAATGACAACAAGATCAGATTCTTGAGGCACTACATTAATCTTGGCGTTAATTCGTGTGTCGAAATATGCCTTCGAGCAATGGGCCCTTCCTCTCGCGACTTTTTACAATGCTCTATTTACAGCTAGATGTTAGGCCATTTCCAAGCCAAGCCAAAGCGCCCCAGGCAATGCGCCAAGGCATCGACAAAAGCTCAAAGCTTCGCACGGCATGGGCTTACATGGGAATATCTGCTGGTGAGCACAAATGCCACAAAGGTGGTTTTCCTATGAGGTGTGGCCCTTACGTCTGTTCCTTTTACAGCCAAGAGATTGTACCCTTGCGGCAAATTCTAGCAATTTGAGGAGCGATCTGCGGTCGAACATGAATCTGTGGTAAACGTTTTCGTAATTGAATAGCACAGGACTTAGCTACATCTATGGAACCTCATTGCTTGTCACTTGTTGTGCATGGCCCTGCAACTCAATATTGAGAACTAGCATATAGATAAAGCCATAACCTGTTACAGAGATCACCCAAGGTGCGAGATTGCGTATTCTTAACTATCCGTCATCTCTGCGAGCGTCGTACCTAAACCAGCATACGTAGCAATGGCTCGATCCTAAGCAACAGACAATACTTATATTATCAAACGAAAAGCTTGCTTTCTATCACTTCATTCATCGAAAGACAGGAGGTTGTGAAATGTAATTGATTAGTGCTGAGCTATGTTATACGCCTCCATGAGGCAGTCTAAGAAGTCCGCAAGTTTCTCGTTCATATCCGCATACTTGTTTAAGCGCAAAGAATCAGGCTGTTGAACGTATCTCCGCCCAACAAGAGAAGGCAGTTCGTCCTTGCTTGCTTCTATCAAACCCTCGATCACCTCAAACGTGAACTCCATATGGCACTGAAATCCATACACTAAATCGGTGTATTCGACAATTTGGCGGGGACAGCCGAGGCTGGAGGCAATGATTTTAGCGTCCGTGGTTAGTCCCGGCATGTCGTTATGCCAGTGACCAACTTCTGTGGAGAGGCCGAAGTGTCTAAACTTGTCATTGCTTCTCCCGGCAGTAGTGAGAGTGATGGGGAAATTGCCGATTTCTGTCTCTGGGCTCTTCTCCCAGGCTGCTCCAAGAGCCTCGCCCACGAGCTGCGAGCCTAGGCAGATGCCTACAACAGCCCTCCCCTCATTGATGCATTGCAGAATGAAGTTCTTCTCAGCTGCGGCATCAAAATACGGACACTCGTCTTTCGTGGTTGATGGTGTCTGGGGGCCCCCTAAAACGATGAGTGCATCGATTGAGCCAACATAGATAGGTAGGGTGTCGCCGAGATAGAGCCGAGTGAAAGTGATGTCGTATCGTCGTTGCAAAGCCCAAGCTTCGTAAGCACCTGGCGCTTCGAAAGACTCATGCACAATGAAATGAACGCGCATGTTTAGAATGGCCTGTTGAAAATGGTTGATTGATTCAAGTTCTTGTTCATTCGTCAATAACGATCAAATTATCTGCCATTTCGCTGGCATATGTAAATGAGACTTGTTCGTTGAATGAGCCAGTGAAGTGACGTTCCGAAGCGGATCATAGGCTTCGGAGGCTAGGCGATTTACAGCCCTGGAAAATGGGGAGTTCTTTGCATGTCCCGAAATGTTTCAATTAATGACTCGGAACTGCTCGTGAGTGGCTGACTGGCTATCCACTTATAAAAAGCAGTAAGTAATTACTAGCTCCTATACGAAAGTGCATACTAAAAATTTCTATTATTAATTAAAAGACTAGCTCTAGTCCAGGCCTACTTTTTGAAATTATATTAACTAATAAGAAGCTATAAATAAATTAAACTTATATTAGTTACTTTTTAATTTAATAATTTCTTATTAAGTATTATTTATATTAAAACTACTTTACTAGATAATTTTAAATAAAAACTTTGATATTAATATAAGTTTAAAAGTTAAGCTTAAAAGGATTTTTAATTTTATTAATATAAGCTTAAAGGGTTAAGTTTAAAAGATTTTTAATTTTATAAATCTTAAATACTTACTTAACTAGCCTTTTATTTATTAATAGTAAATAAAAAAATCGTTTTTTTTAAATTTATAAATTTTAAATACTTATTTAGTTAGCCTTTTATTTATTAATAATAAATAAAAAAATCGTTTTTTTAAATATATAAATTTAAATACTTATTTAGTTAGTTTTTATTTATTGGTAATAAGTAAAAAATTATATAATTTATATCTTACTTAATTTTAATTATATTTTTATTTTAATCCTTAATAAATAAAAATAATAATAAATTTATTATTTTTTATTTTAACTTCTTTTTTAAATTTATTATAGAGTTTTATTTTAATCCTCTTAATAAATAAAAATAATAATAAATTTATTATTTTTATTTTAACTTTTTTAAATTTATTATAGAGCTTTTATTATTTCTAAGTTCTTATTTATTAAAATCTTATTTATAATACTAACTTTTATTATATAATAGTTTTTTCTAGTTTTATAAAAGATCGACTTTAATAGGATTATACTTTAAAAAAATTTATATAACATAATATATTTTTAATTATATTAATATAAGCCTAAGTATTATTTAGAGGCGATTTAAGTAGAATTAGCTATATAAATTATAAAATATAATTCGAGCTTTAGAATAATATTGGTTAGAGTTAAGTTAGTACTATAATTAGTTAGTATTTTTATTAATTAAAGACTTAGGTTAGGGTTATATAAGTAGTTATTAAAATTAAATTATAAAAAGGGGTACTAATAAAGTAATTAAAAATAATAAATAAGAAGATTATTTTATATAGCTTATTTATTATTAAAGAGTAAGAAATAGTATTAAATTATTATAAATAACTTCGTTAAAATTAATAAAAGTATAATATATTTATTTATTAAAAATATAAAATAGTTATTTAACTTAGTAATAATATTAAGTTATATTTTTATTATAAATATTAAAAAGAGAAGTTTTTAAAAATATTAAGGACTATTATAACTATTTAAATCTAACTAATCTAAAAGTTAATATTTTATTTAATAATAATAATTTAGTTATTAAATAGTTTAACGTTTTATAAAAGTATAGTTATTTTATATATTACTATTTTATTATAATAAAAATAATATTATATATTATTAATAAAAGCTAAGTATTTAATAACTAAGCTAAACTTATTATATAAAGGGGATTAAGAAACGATTAAAATATAGATTAAATTAGAACGGACTATTAATAATATTAATATAAGCCCAAAGGGTTAGGCTTAAAAGGATTTTTAAATTTATAAATTTTAAATACGTATTTAGCTAGCTTTTTACTTATTAATAATAAGTAAAAAATTATTTTAGGTTAGTTAGGTTAGGTTGAAGAGGTTAGGTTAGAGGTTAGGTTAGGGTAGAGGTTAGGGTTAGGTTGGTTAGGGGTGGCAGCGTCGAGGGCTGGGTTTCCCGTTGATGTCGCAGCCGCGCTGGCCGACGCGATTGGCAGCGATAAGGTCGGATTCCGTATCAGCCCGTACAGCACGTTCCAGGCGATGAGAAGGGACCCTGTGCCTCAATTCTCTTACCTCACGCAGAAGTTGAAGGCTCAAGCTTGCCTATCTGCACATCATCGAGTCTCGTGTCAACAACTGGGAAGATGTCGAGAAGATCGAGGGTATCGAGTACCTCTTGGAGATTTGGGACAATGTTTCGCCCGTCTTTGTTGCAGGCGGGTTTTCACCTGAGCTGGCTCAGAAGGCTGTTGACGAGGAGTATGCCAAGTGGGATGTCGCTGTTGTCTTCGGCCGTCATTTCTTGGCAAACCCGGATCTGCCATTCCGCATCAAGCACAGCCTTCCACTGAACAAGTACGACCGCGACACTTTCTACACGCCGTCCATCCCGCAAGGTTACATAGACTACCCGTTTCACCCTGCTTTCAAGCCGGGCAAGCCATTGGCATAGAGCGCAGTGGTTTGGAGACATGACGACTCATAATAGAAATAGATGATTAAACATAGACATTGAAACATCCCGTTCTTCTAAGCTCCCTTTTTCTGAGCCTTTAATTACCATAACCTTTGTTTGGGTATCTAATAGTTGCTGAGAAGTGATAGTCCCTGCCTCCGATGCTCCTCAATTGCGACGGAACGTATCGATATGACTGACCCTCATTGCAAAGCCTTTGGCGTTAACAAGTAACACCAATGGTAGATATCAGGGTCGGTAGACTTCAGCTTAGGCGTAGGGATCTTCGCAAAAACCTCAACATCGAAAGGTAGGTTTTCAACGTCGAAGCGGCCAGAGGAGTAACTCAACGAGATCCAGAAGCCCCCATCGGTCAAGTGTCGTCTCACTCCTTCTGCCATTCTTAATACCGACTCTTCGCCTCCACAGGAGATTGCGTCCACAGTGCTTTTGTCGATGATCAGATCGTACGTCTCGAGCTGGAGCTGCGTGGCATCTGCAACGAGGTAGCGCATTCTCACGTCACCAAATACTTGCTTTTCTAGCATACGGCGCGATCAATGGCTCGAGGCTCGAAATCAACGTTGGTAATGTTTTGAAAACCTCTTGCCCGGATATGGTTCTGCAGGTCGCTCGTTCCGAAACCTAGCTGCAGGATGCGAGCCGAGTCGTCCAGATTGGTGAGACATGGGTCCACGATCGACATGAAGGTCGCAGACGAGGTTAACCACTCAAAAGTGGTCTCGGATGCGAAGCGCTCGCCCAGTAACTTTGCTTGTCGAAATCTGCGGGCATAGTTTCTTTTGAAAGAGAATCTCGTTAAAAGCCGGAGGTTGATTTGTAGGTGACACTGCAGTCCCGTTGAATTGATCGAAGTTGTTCACAAGGAACCATCGGAGTGCCGGAGTTCATTTACCCTTATCGCCAGATCTGGGCAAAGAATTTTAAATGCCCACATTTACGTAACACTGGAAGCCCCATCTGACATCATATTATTGGAACACAATGCCAAGTGGTTCCGCTGCTTGAACAGTGCGCGGGGCCTGAGTAATGTTGTTTGTTGACAACTCGTTCAATTAGATTGTACATTTGCTCTTGTCACTACAGGTTCTAATACCCTGATTCATTGCCAAAAGCCTTCCGGTTCCTAAGCACCCGTGAATATACGCAAACTTCAGTAGAGGCAAGGCGATATGATCAATACCATCGCTATTCTACACCTAGACGACGTCTCATTTCCTCCAACGCATCTCTGATGTTTCTGTCGAGGTCAAAATTCCACAACTCCTCTGCCTGCGCATAGATTTCCTCGCGTAGCTTATCAAAGTCCTTCTCATGCTCCGTCCGGAGATCGTAAAGTTCGCCAGCCCTTCGACTCTCCCGAATAAGCCATTGACCCCTTTCCCGACGGCTAGCATCAAATGCAGCAAACGCAGCCTCAATTCCTCTACTATCTCGTACCGTTTGGTCTGCCAACAGTGATGCCATGACTGCCGCGTCTTCAACACAAATTCCCGCTCCAGCACCTTGATGCGGGGTGGATGCGTGTGCTGCGTCTCCAAGAAGGCATATACGGCCCTTCGCATATGTAGGGACCGAGTCATCGCCTAAATCGAACAGAGCCCACTGAGAAGGTCGTTAACTCGATACCCGAAGGTATAAAAGATGACTGGGAGTGTGTTCATCGCAGACATACCCTGTCCAGAACTTTCAAAAGCTGTATCACCCTCTGCATTCGCGGACTGAAAGCTTTAAGGTCTTTGATGCAGTCATCTACTGTAAGGGAGTGTAATTGTCTCGCTTGGCCACTCTTCGGTAGTTGAGGTGTGAGCGACCAAGTTCAGCATTTTCCCATGAGCCACCGGGTAGGTGACTATGTGTGCATCATTGCAGACCTAATACATTGTTAGGTGATGGTTTTACAATAGACCGTCTTGAAAGTGATAAAAAGAATAACTCACCCACAACCCGGAGGTTCTTGCTCTGTCTGGTCCCAGAATCTCTACGGCTTGGCTCATCGGTATCAAACCGCGGTAAGTATACTTATGGGTGTAGGTGCACTTCGTAGCGGCATGATTGTGTCCTATGACGATCCCTCTTGTGTGAGATTTGATTCCATCGCATCCGATTATTCCATCGGCCTCAGCGGTTGATCCGTCTCGGAAGATCATTCGAATCCGTCTGCCCACTTGTTTTGGGTCCTCAATGCTTTCCAGCTCCTTACTGTAATGTATCATGTCATTGGGAACATGTTTGAGTAAGTGCGTTAAGAACTGGCCTCGGTGACAACCCCGAATTCCTGTAGTAGAGTTTCCAAGTGTGAAAAGAACGGTGTCCTCGTTTGCTTCATCTGTACCGTCAAACACCTCCCACCGGAAAGGTGGCTCAGCCACGCTTTCGAGGGCTTCGAGAATCGCCGGATCACAAGTTACCATCGCCTTGAGAGCATTAGGCGAAACGCCCAAGCCGACTCCAAGCTCGGTATAGGCATGGGCCTTCTCATAGATGATACAGGGTACATTGCGTTTAGCGAGCGAAATGGCGAGGATTATCCCAGCTATGCCTCCCCCAATGATGGCGATTTCGAATGGTTTCGTTTCTTCTCCCATAATGATGTGATTTTTTTTGGAGGAAAGATGGGAGACTACAGACTGAGGAGCGAAAAGAGGAGATGATTCAATTTAATATGAATTTACATGAGTGGTCGAGCATTATTAAGGTTTGAACGGATGTCACACGGACATTGAGCAAAAGATCCCCGAGGTACATCACGCATCTATCGGCCCCAACTTCACCAATTTGAGAATATCTCACTCCTTGGATTTATCATAGATCAATGGCTTTGGCTGTGAGGAGTATAAGGTGCATATTCTTTAGTTGAACTGTTTCGAGGGGGGCATACACATACAATCTTGCAGAGCTGGAGGCATCGTGCTCCAAACGTAACTCCAATAGCAAGATGGTCTTTCAATCTATGGTAAGGCAATAACCGTCAAGATCACGACTATCAGTGCTTGGATACAAAATTTCGATATCTCTTACTTGCGTATCTACTTTTAACCGATCAAATAGCAGACCAGGTCATCCTCTTTCGGCATTGCTGATGCGGTCACCAAATAATATGTGGCAGTGTTGAGTTAAAGTTCTTCATCTCTCCCGAAGGTTTCCTACCCCCTGTTGGTAGCGTGGCATCGTGCCCGAATTTTGAACTATGCTGAAACTTACCGGATTGGACTTTTGATGACCACTCCATCGATGAATTAGTTAGATGAGCACTGTTTATGCTGCATTTCTTTGACGGCAAGTTAAAAGTTATGACCATATATTAATGCTTAAGTTCAACATCATCTTCATCGTTACTACGCTGCTGTGAAGATTAAAGCAACGGTGTGAATCTTTCTTCTTTCCCGTTTCTCTCATCCGGCTCCCAGGATTTCACCGAAAACTTTGCCAAATGCCATCTTAATTACAACGTGAACAGTGTTGTGTCTCTACCTTCTCTCTTGAGGCTTTTGTTGGCTCTGTTAAGCATGATCTTCATGATCACGCATGTGACAATACTCAGGGCTGACGATGCCATCATGAGCAAGTTGGCCATAACATATCGAGGCCCATCATTTGATGGGAAGAAGTAGGGGCTCCAGATATTGCCTAACTGGCTGAGCAGGTTAATGATCGCTGTCGCACACGCCCTCTTCTCTGGAGTTTGGTTCAGGGTGGAGCTAGCCCACGAGAAGACCATGGCATTGGAAGAAAAGCATCTGGATCATTGCATCAGCTGAAATTTCACATCCCCGAAGACCGAATACGCTCAACTCACCCGCAGATGTAAAGGAATGCAGCAAAATAACGTGCAACTATGTTGACCGTGGAGACCGAAATGATGAACCCAACACATGCGACGCCCTGTGGCACGGAAATGTGGAAGCCGCGCTCTTTACGACGGTCGGAAGACCAGGCTGTTGTGAATGCGACGACAGTGGCAAGAAGGTACGGCGGCGCCGTCAGAATGAGGGTCAAGGTATTGCTACCAAGCTTGAAGCCCTTGACGATCGTGGGGAAGAAATTGTTGAAGCCATAGGCTGAGTGATTCGCGGTCAGCATTACCACCTGTTTTGCTATTGTGTCAGTGTACTGTTCGGCATCTCTGTTCCTACTATTGTCTCTGCAAATTCCGGTGTGACTCACGAATACCCAAGTACGGGGGTCTTTGATGGCAAGTTTCAGCCCGTTCCAGACACTCGAGTCTGCCTCTGGCAAAGAAACCCGATCTCGTCGAATACGCTCAACCGCGACTCTTTGCTCAGCATCGGTGAGCAACCACTTGGCAACGCCCGACTTCTGTCCGGGGAAGTCAGGAAGCAGCGCGAAACCTAGAAGCGCTGCGGTAAAACTTCAGCTCCTTCGATGATGATGCCAGCCAGCGATGCCCCTTGCGCCCTCGAGGCCCGAGAGCACGCCAGCAGCAATAAGTCCAGAGAATGCCGTGGCAAGGAGGACGCCAGAGTATAAGACAGCAGTGCGCAATGCTAGTTCTTTGCGTGGGTACCAGCATGATAGAAGATACATGGCTCCGGGAAAGAACGGGGCTTCCGCGATGCCAAGAAAGAATCGTATAACAAGAAGGTGGGTGTAATTGCCAGCTCCAGCCGTGGCAGCTGAGACGATAGACCACAATGCTGTACAGGCAGGGATGTATATACCGGGTCGTGTTCGAGTTATGAGCATGTTACTTGATGGATGTCAGTACTTCAGCGTGGATGGGCAGAATTCCAAGCACGTCTCTCTTACCTAGGAAGCTGCATCACCATATAGCCTATGTTCAAGATAGAAACAGCAACGTTGAATTGATTTCCAGTCAGATTGAGATCCTTCTCCAAAGAGCTCAATCGGGCTTGACTGTTACCAGTTACTGTTAAAGACTGACCAATGTTGCGGGAATTGAAGGTTACAAGAATCTTACGCAATGTTGTTTCGATCAAGATAGTTGAAAAGATACAAGAGCCAGACCTAGAAGCTGTTAACCTTTGCACTGGATCTCGAGCTACTGCTTCGGACGACTGACCATAGGGACGAGTGTATAGTCGAGTTTCCTCACCAAACTCTTTTCGTGGGCAATGAACTCCTCCTCTGCCATGCTAAAGTTGTTTTCAGTGGCATCTTTCTCAAGAGAAGCATCATGCTCTTGAAAGGCGTGTAGATCGTCGATATGATCAGAGCTGGCTTGCATTGTGTCACCCTTTTCCTCGGATCTATCAATAGCCATTATCGCTGGTATTGAAGCTTGTGATCTCCAATGATGAAATTTCGAATAGGAAAGGGAGGGTGGGACCGATCATAGAAATTGCGTGCAGGTGCAATATTTATCCAAAGTCTCTTTCTGCAAGAACAAGAGAAGGCATGCCAGTCGAAATAACGCGGCATGGTATTGGGTGACGATGGGTCTTAACTTATGTCTTTCGAACAAAAGCATTACTTTTCAGACACACCCCAAAGGGAGACACAAATGGCAGTCTGTTCTGGTTGTCGAGCAGGAAGACGGAAACCCCAGAATTACCCCGCAGACCCTCAATCTAACCCCAGGTTCTTACCCGCTAGTAGAGTATCCGTACAAAGGTCTGCCTGAAGCTATGAGGATTACACGCCCAACCTGTTGTTCTACTTCCTGCCAGCATCCAGCCAATAGGCAGCCACGGAATCGTATGATCCAGGTGTCTGCCATGCCAGTGTAGATAGAGACGTCAAGTCGTTCCATAGTGGGCTTGTCCGTACCTGTCTCGGGTTATTCCAGCCGCTGCTAAAGTTGGTGAAGGTCATCTCGGAACAATTTGAACCCTTCACTCCCTTGCGTAACGGAGTAGTCCGTGGCTTAGCGGAACAGTCCGTCACATGGAGAAATCCAGTCTCGGTGCCCGGGCTGCTCCTTGAAAATGCAAATTGGTATTCGCCATCATGAAGTTCGCGAATACCGCCGCCATGGGTCCCGCGAGTTGTGGCTTGACAACATGAATCGTGAACATCCATCCCGTTCCAATGAAACATCCCGCCGGATATGGCGGGGTCCATAACGATGAGGGTATGTTGAGGCGCGACATCGTCGACTCACAATTTGCTCCATTTACACTCCGCACAACATTTTCTCGTTCAATAGTACTTTATCATGACTACGACATCCGTAAAGAGTTCAAGAGTTATCATAATGATGACCACAGCACACGTCCGAGTCTATGTAAAAGGTTACTCTGTTTTATGATATCAAGAAGAACGCTGTGCAGAACAGAATGTGACACTTTATCATATGATCCCTCTAGGGTCTCGGGGCTAACGCCGATAAGGTATAATCATGCTTCGCCGCGAAGTGCAACGCGCTTGATGTGGTTGAGCGCACTCCCGCCCGCAACCATTCAATTTCAATCTGATTGGTTTCGAAACTGTGATTCAATTTGGCCGTCCACCTGGAGCCTTGTAGGGTGACGACCTCCATGGTCACCTGCTTTCCGGGCCGCAGATCAGCATCTTCGACGTCTACAAGCGTAATTTGGTCCCCCTTCTGTATTTTGCCGTAGTCTGCGGGATCACTGAACGTAAGCGGTAACATGCCCTGTTTCTTCAAGTTCGTCTCGTGAATTCTGGCAAAGCTCTTGGCAATGACGGCAACACCACCCAAATATCGCGGCTCCAGCGCAGCATGTTCTCGCGAGCTTCCTTCGCCGTAATTGTCATCTCCGATGATGCACCACCTGATGCCGGCGCTCTTCATGCTTCTCGCAGCTTGAGGCACGGGTTTGATTTGGCCATCGACCGGATCCATGGCTTTACCAATCACGTTCAATGAGCTGGCGTCGGCTAAGAAGTCATTGGTGGCTCCGAGGAGCATGTTGTTGCTGATGTTCTCCAGGTGGCCCCGGTACTTATACCAAGGACCAGCGGGCGAGATGTGATCTGTCGTACATTTGCCACGCACCTTGATCAGGATGTTCATGCCACGCGCTTGGCCGACTCGCCATCCGTTAAATGGTGTCAGGAGCTGGAGTCTATCGCTGGAAGGGAGGATGCTGACTTTCAATTCCGTTGTGTCTGATAGTACAGGAGGTTGAAAACGGTCGTCGCCTGGAGAGAAGATGACCGGGAGCTCGGCAGCTTGAGGGGGCGTGAAGCGGAATTTCTTGGGAGCACCATATGGACCGGGTATGGGTATGTCATCAGTCATGGGGTTGAACGTGAGATTGCCAGCGAAGGCAAATGCTGCGGCGAGCTCAGGTGATGTGACAAAAGAATGAGTGGCCGGATTGCTGTCGTGGCGACCTGTGAAGTTGCGGTTGAAGCTGGAAATGACCGAGTTCCTTTCGGCGTTCTTGACATCGACGTCTTCCCGATCCCATTGCCCGACACATGGGCCACAGGAATTACTCAAAACAACTGCTCCAGCTTGTCTGAGCGTATCGAGAATCCCTTCCTCCTCTGCCGTAGCACGGATTTGCTCACTTCCTGGGCTAACTAGGAATCGCGTCTTTGTCTTCTCTAGCCCGGCTTCTCTGGCTTGCACGACGAGATGGCGAACCTTTTCTAGATCTTCGTACGAGCTATTGGTGCAACTCCCGACTAGACTGCAAGAGATGTCTGACGGCCATGAACTCGCTGACATGTCGTTTGAATTGAGATAGGTGTGCCAGGTCCGGGGTGAAGGGGCCATTAATGTGAGGCTCAAGGGTCGAGAGGTCTATCTCGATTATTTCGTCGTAGTAGCGGTCGCAACCCTCGTCTCCAAGAAGGAGTGGCTGTTTGAAAATATCGGCATAGTCGGCGATATTCTTCCGATTCGTGGCTGATAGGTATCGCGACATCGCTTCAGAGTAAGGGAACACGCAAGATGTTGACCCAATTTCGGCAGACATGTTGCAGACGGTTGCCATCGCCGTAGCTCCCAGCGTTTCGGTGCCTGGACCAAAGAACTCAATGACTTTGCCTTTACCTCCAGAAACAGTGAGGGCAGATTATGTCCTTTGACGAGCTCCATCCCTGGAGTTTGCCGGTCAGGCGCACGCCGCAGACCTTTGGACAGACGAGCTCCCACGGCATACCAGACATTGCATCGACAGCATCGGCTCCACCGACACCGATACCTAGCATGCCCATTCCTCCGGCATTCGGTGTGTGCGAGTCCGTGCCAATCATCAGGCCGCCTGGGAATGCGTAGTTCTCGAAGATGGTTGTGTGTATAATTCCCGCTCCTGGCTTCCAGTACCCGATTCCGTATTTCTTCGTCGCACTACCGAGAAAGCATACACTCTTCGTGGTCGCTAGCAGCACGAGCGAGATCCTCCTTATCACCTTTCTCGGCAACGATCAGGTGGTCACTGTGAACGGATGTCGGAACTCTGACGCGTGGAAGACCAGCGCTAATGAATTGAAGCAAGGCCATTGTTGCTGTGGCATCGTGGCATGCTACTCGATCGGGCCGCAGGCGCAATATTGTCTTGCCTCGATGTATTTCGTCGAGCGACCACCCATCTTTGCCGGGGACTAGGTGGCTGTATAGGATCTTTTCGGAGAGAGTCAGGGGTCGTTTATTGGACTTTTGCAGGTCATGAAGGGCTTGTAGTCGCGATCCATAATCTAATGGGTTGTACTAGGTCACGGTCAGACTCAGTGCTTTGGTTTTGACAGGAGTTATGCAAAAGACTTACCGGCTCCAAAGGACTTAACGGAACTTGTACAGATGCGGCTGGAGTTGCAAAATGTCTTCTCCATGCTGCGTACGAAGATTGTTTGAAGGAGGAGCGTCCATTTGACCTAGTTGCCTTCAACAGCGCTAACATCATGACTGCGGTTTCTATGCCTCAGCGCCAGTCCAGACACCCTCCAAGGGCACGGCATCTTTTTCATTCTCCTTCCACTCGTACTGCGATACCAAACCGTGCTGGTCATTGCGATGTCATGAACAATTCGTAGCAGCTTCTGCTTCAAGCTCAGACAGTCGAGAGTCCTGGGTAGCTCCGTTTAGAGCTCCAAAGTTGGGGTATACGCGGAGTAGTCCGGAAGCTGAGCAAGGTCCAAAGCCGGACTACTCCGTCTAACACCAAATCCGAGTCCAACTCCCGGAGCTATCCGCATGGATCACTCTCGTTGCCCAAAAGATAGCGCATTCAGGCCAGCTGGATCCTTCCAAGTCCCAGAGTCCCGGGAAATTCCAACACGACGCTGACGAGTGCCTAGCTGCGTCATCGATATCCCGGGTTCGGGAAGTTCGCTATGTCGTAGGGATCGCTAATGCTGGTCAAAGGAAAGCTCCAGCTAAACTCAGACTTGTCGAAATCGGCAAGAAAAGTCTCAATCTCCGGAACATAGTCGTTCGTTGTTGAATGGAATGTAGGGTCGGGATAGACTCCCTGCCAATGTACAGGGTCGTGGGCATTCGGTAGCTCCATCGAGGCTCCCGCCATCTGGTGCCAGGGTGCGTCCGCCCCGTTGAGCGCTATGTGAGAAAGGTCAGACTGCTGCCCAGCTGCGTCATAGACAGGTGCCCCTTCTGAGTTTTCAATCGCAGTCTCTCCGTCTTCGGCGCTGAGAGGCATGAAGAGTCGGGGATTCTTTGATGGCATATTGCCGGTGTAAAGTTTGCGGACTGTGAGGTCGACAATAGCCCCGAAACTTCTCTGTCCCCTTTTGACAGACGGCCACCATTCCCCACCAACTGCTAAGAGACCCGAACAAGCGCGTAGACTTTTGGAAAGGTCGGCTGTAGACGCGCTTTGACGGACGACGGGGCACGTCCAGAAAGAATAGATCAGCGTCGCCCCAGCCGCGAAAATGTTTTGGACCGTTCGCCATCCATGATGAAGACCTTGCATGTCGTGCAACATTTGGTAGTCCTGCAGAATGGACGAAGCATTGTTGAAGCAGACCTGGAGAGACTCGGGAGGAGGGTTTCGAATGACCTGTGAAGGCTGATAGAGCATCACCATCGTGGTGTGATACTTGATCTTCAGCTTCAGCTTCCAGATGCGACGCTGTCGGTTGTCAACACCGGGGAAATCAAAGGATTCTTTAGACACCTTCCGCCACCAATTCACGAGCTCTTGTTTGATTCTTTCTTGTTGGTCGGTCGGGTTTCGCGGCATTGAAAACCAGGAGGAGTCGCAGGGCAGATGGTAAAGTTGTTGTTTGACGTCGGAAATCAGTCTATCGAGTTCGAACTGGTGTCGTGCATATCTCAGTACAGCCTCCGAGAAGGAGGATGGAATCGTATTGAGGCCGTTCGTATTGCCTGTGCGTGATAATTGTGGTTCAGGCATCATGATATCGAATGTTTCGTCGCGGAAGCCAAGGGGCCGGCCTTGGATAGATGATATGGATCTACTATTGTTAGTAAATCGTATAATCAAAGCACTACTCGAAACTTGCCTGTCCAAGGAGTATATGGTGAAGAAAGTCAACCTCTTAATTTGCTGATTCTCAAATTCGCTACTTGGCTGGATGGCCGCAGGTGGTTCCCTATGAATCCCTAGTTCCACGCAATGCGCCAATGCAATATGGATGAGCGTAAAAAGATTAACCTCTGCAGGGGTCAACATGCTGTGTATAATCAGAGTTACCAAGGCTTGAATCGACGACAGAGATATCTGCGAGAAACAATCTTTCGAGAAATGTAGAGCGGCACGGTAGAACCTTTCGGGAGGAAACTCGTAGATCCGCGATCTGATCTTCATGATAGCTGCGATATTGAAGACCATGAAGAGGGTAAAAGCAACAACGGGCATAGGCACCGCTTGCACACCTTGATCGCTCGGGGTGATCTGCCGTCCATTCCACCTAAACGCTTGAACGGAACTTGGCCAGCCATTTGAGCGAGCATTCAAAAGTTGCATACAGAGCATCAATGGCACTGAGTAGAGATGTCGCTTCTAAAACTGGGTAGTCGGGATGCATCCAGCGAATGTAGGTGTGTACGAGCTTGATGGCATCTTCTTTCCTTGAAGTTCCTGCGCGTAGACGGGCGTTAGCTTTATCGTAACAGCAATGAAGTGTGCAATCTCTTAAGTAGAGAAGAGATGCATACGAACCTGTCGTAGACACACGTGCAAGGCACGATTATATTCTTGCGAGACGTTGCTTGGGATGGTGCTGTCGTGCCATTCAGATGCTGGTCCCTGGGCTTGGACGTCATCAATCAAAGCAACCGGTGTTGAGCCCGCACTTGAGGGAGACGCCCCAATGAGATTTGTGAAAAGAACACCAGAACTCGATCCCAGATAATGCTTTTGATCTGAATCCGAGTTGAGCGACAACATCCCTAAGTTCCTGGCGACCGAATGTGCACGATCCGGGAACTCTTCGTCGTGGTCGTTGGATCCCGCGGCCTCCGCGGTACGCTTGAGACTGCCTGGTCGTTGCGACCCCAGAACTATAGTCCCTCCCACCGGCACCGGTTGACTACATCCGCGGCCGGACCGGGGAGACGATGTCGAGATATTGTCCTCATCGTGGTCTCCACCTCCGACGACCCCCGATCCTTTCGGGTCCGGAAAGGCGTCTATCTGCGGGCCACCTGCTATGTCGACGTCAGGTAGCCGCTGTTTGATTATTTCCTCTAGCCATTGAATTCTAGCACGTGCCGCACTCGCAAAGCTATACACGGATAAGGATCATCAGCCATGGACTCCTTTAGCCGTCTTTGAGTACCTTGCAGGGCGGATGGGACTCCAGTATGAAGCGCTCAGAATGGGACCAATGAGGGCGCAGTAGGGGTCATGGCAATGTGGCATTTACACTTACTTGCGAACCAACAAACGCGAGTTCTGACTATCAACATCTAGGCAAGTTTCGCCGGCTTTTGCGCAATTCGTGCAGGCAGGACTTCTCCGTCGCACTGAAAAGTTGAGAATGAGCAACCCGAACAGTTTGAGCCGGAGTAACGCGGCGATGGTCCCGGTCATTGTCCAGGCTAGTAATACCAAACCCCAGCGCGGGATTTGATCTGACTGGAGCCACAAGGCAGGTCGGGGATCATGAGAGAGTCTCACCTTTATTCGCCTTGTGCGACAACGACGACAAGCGAGCCGGACCTTCTTTGGCGGATTTGCCCGTGTAGCCATTTCTGGTATGAAGTTGTCGATTTTCTCTCGTTCTTTGGAGGTTATGTCCCGCGGTGTGAAGGTAAGCGACCTGGAAGGAATTGGCGAGGAAATGAATGGAAAAAAGGCATAGCCCGGGGCAGCTCCCGACAATGGCGAGGCACATAGCTACTAAACAAGCTAGTACTTACGTTAGGTACCAAGTACATTTACTGGATCCCGGGAGGAGTGTTTCCCAGGGGGCTTGTCACGTCACTTTCCGCCTTTCACCCAACCCCTGACGGGATGTGGCTTGGGCTACTTTTTCGGGATAGACACACAGAATCCGCGGGAAACATACATCAGGCATACCGGGGAGGATCACATAGAATCATATGAGGGCTTTCACAAGAGCTATAAGAAGTTTCAGCTACTATTCAAGCCTTCATTAAGACCATTTACAGAGGAGCATATCAGGGAGCAACAGCTCACCTTTGCAGCGGATACCTCTAGGCACTGCACTTGGGACACTCGGGAAAGGCCTAAGCGAGCGGGCCTAAGCGAGCGGTACAGCGCCTATGTTTCCTTGGAAGACCTCGGTAGTATGTGGAGAAGCTGGCTTAGTGCCCAATTGGCAAACCTGGATCGGTAAGCGTACCTGTACTCCATACTTTTGCATCGGACACTTTGCTGAGTCTAATCAGGGCTGGCGGACACTGGAGTCTGGACGCTGTCGCTCGTTCGCCAAGAGCATTCGCAATATGTTCTGCCTGACAAGATGAACCTTGTCAACCCGCCGGCGGTATTCTCGTTGAAGCCTTACGAAGAATTGTTCTTCCGTTCACAGAAGGTTTCACAGCTAGGGTCTCGCTACTGCATGCCCCAAATGACGAGTGGGTTCCCTGGGAGTCGGAGATCTATTAGTTTATGGTCCGTGGACCCGATATGGCTTGTAGGCTGGAGTTACCAACAATTATTCATGCTTGAATAGACTCTTCCACCTTATCCCAAGATAGTCTATACCTTGTTTACAGTTTGAACTATTCTGCCGGATAACGTTCGATAGGGCACGGCAGATGGTGGAGCAAATCAGCGTGTAGCAAAATGTGCTTCGGGGCATCGGGGAGCACGCGGGCCGTAGGCCCTCCGTGCATAACACCTCCCAATCGCCTAGTCGTACGATTGAATCTACCGTCATCGCACTACTGGCCCTAGTATCATAAGGAGGCTTCTGTGGTTTTGATGTTCCAGCTTCCCACTGGGACTTGTCACTTCGCTGCCATGCTGCCCTAGTGAGCTTGACGATCTTTCGTCAACCTTGGTGAAATTCTTCACCAGGAACCCCTCGGCAGTTGTCATCCTCGCGGAATCGCACTTGATAAATCGCCCCGCCTCGAATTCGATGCATCTGAGACGCAGAGCGCACTGGCGATGGGCGTAGTAGGCTACAGCATCATAGGGCGGCTTGATTTACCAAGGACGGCTGGGACGAAAACTACGAGCGGGAAGTGGGATGAACTCAAAAGCTGCATTGTTCATTACGGGATTACTTTTGTACTCGGACGGACGCTCGCTTGGCTTTGTTTGGCACGCGGGAGTATGACTTAATCTGACTCGCGGTGACGGGAATGAGTGCTCCGCCGGATGTAAGTGAGCATTATGAGCTTGATGTATTACGTCTTTGACCACAGCGATTAAGCAGGAACACAGGGCCGGTGGCGGCTGCGCCGGGAATAATTATTGAATGAAAAGGGGCCGGAGGTGTAATTATGCGGCTCTGTGTCGATTTGAAGAGGCCTAGGCGTAGGTCAAGGCAACACCAGTGGTCATCTTCTTGTAGCGGTGATGAAAGAACCAGCAAGCCTTCGCTGTCCATTTTTGCTGACTAGCATATGGCTTATTGGTAGAATTAGGGACACAGGCCTACTACTCCGTACCGTATCTCGCTTTCGTTTTCCGTACTACGGGAGGCTATCCGTAGACCGCTGAAGCTCGATGTAGAGTTTTTGTACGGCTCGGATTAGCCCCAATTTGCTCTTTACAGGCTACCCCTTGTGGCTATTTTCACGTACGTTAGAGCGGATGAATTGACACGCAAAGTCCAAAGCTTAGATTCCAACCCCCAAACCGTAGCGTCAGACCCAGGCCAGGGAGGGGAAAGGGGAGCATTCCACGCATCGCGTGGAGTCCATGGTTTCCACGCGTTCCACGGAGACGCTCTGACCAGTCTCCTGTGGAGCAGATTTGTCTTGTTACCATCCGTACGGAGTAGTCGTTTGCCGTACGGATATTGACGGAGCAATCCGCCAGCCGGATACTTCTCAGACGGATAGCTCCTTTGAAGGAACTCCCTCGACTGTTCACCTGCAGGCAACTGATGATCTTGTCGCGTGAACGTGTAGAAGATGCTTGTTTGTGTCTGCTTTCTCTACCTTACGTAGTGCTGGCATAAACCATCGTCTTCGTGCTAATGTTAACAGCACTTGGAGGAACCCGAGTGAAGATGAGTGTTATATGAATGATGGCGTCGTCGGCTGGAAGAGCCTTCGACATCAGTTAAAGCCACGAGTGCATTACCGCTCACCAGTACTGGCAAACGTTCTCGTTCTTACTGATTCCTTCGCGATGCCTCCTTCTGCCACATCGATTGAGGAGAGACAACCCGTTCTGCTCCCGTGCGGTGGATGGGATACTCATCACCATATCTTCGAACGTAGGTCTACTTTTCGTGTGGAAAATTCCTTCAGGGACCTGATTATCAACAACAAAACCCGCTAATTCAAACACTTTCGTCGTTAAGCCGAATCTTTCCCTTACAGCCCAAACAGGCATTTAACTCCGCCGCCCGCGACGATTGCCGCGTTTGAACAATTCAAAAGAAGCTTAGGCATCACGAGATCTGTACTCACACATGGATTATCCTACGGAAATGACTGCACATCTCTCAAGGCGTTCGTCCCTCGCCTCGGTAGCCAAAAGACCCGGGCTGTTGGCGTTATCGATCCTGAAACGACGACAGACGAGGAGTTACTTGCGATGCACAGAGCGGGTGTCCGCGGCCTTCGCGTGAACCTGTATCAGTACAAAGCTATGGAAGATGTCGAGTTGCAAAAAGTTGCTCTGCGTGCGCATCTGAAGAGGATTATAGATCTATCGCTCCCCTGGAGCTTAACGATGACGACGACCCGCACCGAGTTCTGGACCACGCTGGAGCCCTTCGTCCGAGATGTCATAGTCTCGCAAGGGGTCATCTTGGTTACAGATCACTTTGCGTTGCTGAAGGCGACAAGTCTGCTGCCCGGTGAACATCGCGAGGACCCGACGACCCAGCCAGGGTATGACGCCGTGATGAGACTAGTAAGGGACGGCCATCTGTGGGTAAAGCTGAGCGCACCGTATCGCATCAGCGACGAAGACCCAGGATACTCAGATGTAAAGTTTCTAGTGCGCGCATTTGTCGATGCGAACAAGCACCGGGTGCTGTGGGGCAGCGATTGGCCGCATACGCCGCGAATGAAGGTCCGGACACACGAGGCTGCCATGAGGGAGACGCCGTATCTTGAGGTAGATGATGCGGCATGGCTCAAGAGCCTGAGGTCTTGGCTCTCAGATGAGGAGTGGGATCTTCTAATGGTTCAGAATCCAAGCCATATCTTTGGACGGTGAAAAATATGATGAGAATGGCCGTGGTAGAGCCGGGGCTCGAGAGGAAGCAACGTGTCGTGATCGGAATGGGCTAGCGACCAAGTCTATTTCATTGGCAATGAGACATTGTCAAAGTGTGAGAACTTTTGGCTGTACTGCAAGCTGATAAAGACTACTTCTTACAACAGTCATTTATCTTTCCTGACGCTTTTGATGAGGTCTCCATGGAAGCCCCTTCTTCAGTTCGACAAACATCTTCTCATCAACTTCGGCCCTTTCTTGGCATAGAGCTACCACCTTCTCGACCAGAGAAATAGGAGTGACTACGACGCCGTCGGCATCGCCCACCAGAATGTCGCCGGGATTGATCCAAAGGTCCCCCTTGAATTGGAGCGGCACATTGACTCTTGAAGCCCGTGTGAAAGTGTTGGATCCGAGTATCGAAGTGCCGTGCGCAAACACCTAACCAAAGTTGTCAGGATTCTCATCCCCTTCTTTACTGTCAGAGAGAGGAAACTCACGGGGAATCCCATCTCGTTGTGTTCTCCAACGTCTCGCATGCGACCATCAATAACCACAGCCTCCGCCCCGAGATACTTTGCTCTCGTAGACATCAGCCCGCCCCAGCAAGCCGAAGGCAAGCCCTTGGGCTGCTGAACGTACATAATGCCGCCCTCCTGATTGTGGTCGACGAAGTGCTTGTCTAGCTTGGGCGCCGCGGTATTGCTCATCTCCACCATCTCGACGGTCACTGCGGGGCCGAAGACGCGTCCTGACGCGCCCGGCGAGAACATGCGGATCCCATCAAGAAAGCCGCCCTGGGGGTATTTGAGCTTGACAAGAGCATCCCCAATCTGGCTCAAATGTTATCGACTATTTTGATATAATATTGATAAGATTTGATGGCTGAAGCCGGCCGATCGACGACCTTGGCCAGAGATGCACTTACGTCACAGGAGGTGAACTTGCGAAGAGCTTCTAGAGCGCGAGGGGACATTATGGTGTTGTGTTTAAGACTAGTAATTGAACGGCTCAGGCCCAGAAGTTTCACTGATTAGATCTTGTCAATTCAAAGTTCTTCTCATGACCAGTTACATTGTTAAATAAGGCAAGTTCAGGGTGTATTCGAGTGCCTGCCGGCGTACCGAGCGAAGCTCCGACCTTCGAGACGCGGGGTTGCGGGCGAAAGCTCGGACCATCATCTAGGCCATCAAGGGCGGGATTACTCCGTCTCCTGGGTTCGGTTCAAGGAGACATCCGGCCACAGATGTAGTGACGGGCAAGAGATATAGAACATCGAAGTCTTCTGGGCCAGCTTTAAGTGGCCAGACATAGAAAAGTCTAAGCTGGAAATGAGTTGAATAAAAGAAACAAGATCTAACTATCAGCCAGAAGCTTGAGACCTCTGTTATTGGGTCACTAGTCCCGGCATGAGGAGCAGTGGATGGAAGAATGAATGAGCTAAGGGACTGACTTCACATGATTACTTATCATCGATTTCTTATCTTACAAAGGCCTTGTAATCAATTGCGAATGGCGCTCCTTGGGACGACAGGCGGTTGTTTTACCGCAGTAACGATGAGAGAGTTTTCGGTCCTTTCGGTGAGTCTCGGTCAATCTCGGTCAGTGACATCGGTCAGGGTAGACAAAACGTAGCCCTAGTTGATCCACAATAACCATTGAAGAACCAATTTCACATGGCTGAGACTCCAGTATACTCACTTTGGAGGTTGCTTGCAAGACGAAAGAAGGCTCACCAACGTTTGTTTCATGCTGCTATGGCTCCTTCATGTTCTTCTTCATATGTTAGTAGATAACTAAGTTACACAATGAGGCAAAAAGCTTGCGCTCAGCGTGTGCATATACTGACCCCCACCTGATTTGAACAGATAACCTTTCGATAAGATCTTGAGAAGTCTCAAGCTGGAGTCGAACGCGCTACCGTTGCGCCAGAGGCCGATGAAGCTATACCCACATCTGAGTTGGGGTTGTGGATGCCGGTTTCCAGTATGGGGCGGTTATCTTGGACACAGATGGGAAAGTAATACGAAGCGACCTGGTGTTCGCGGGCCTGGTTTTGAATAGAAATCAGACATGGAATGCCAATGGAGGCCGAGTACTTTGATTATATAACTTTCCCACTCTTCCACCTCAAATCAAACGGGAGCGATGGCCTGAAGGCTTCCGCCTGACAGAGCAATACATTGTGCAGGGCGAAAAGAAACACTGCTTAACCTCCTGATATGCAGAACTTGATCGCGAAATTACGACGGCATCCTGTTGATGCAGAGAGCGAAATGGTGAGCGCCGATTAGGCAATGCTGTGGTCAGCTTTGTTGCAACGGTTTGATGAGCTTGAGCACTGGGAAATGCTAGCCACCACGTCCTAAGGTAAACGACAATGCCAATCAAAACAAAAGATCCAACGATGTTGCATCAATTGCACTCCTGCACTCGGTGAACTTGCTTGTCAATGGCTCGAACATGAATCAGCGATATCGATACAAGCTTTTGGGCGTGTCGAACATGTAGCCATCATGAGACTGGTAAGTCGGGCGGTATGCAAAGCAAAGCGATCCCCAAAAGGGCAATTAGAGGTCGCACGAAGACCCCAATAATCCCAGGCATCCAGGAACTGTGCCTCTCCAGGGCTTGGAACTAATGCCGCAATTGGCGGCATCGGTGGCTGATGGATCTGACAGTCATGTGCTAACCACATTAGGCAATTGGAAGTTCATCCAGACATAGTCTAGCACTTCACAGAAGGGGTTGCAGGCCCAGCGAAGACGCGAAGATGCACGTGGAACCCTCTGCCGTCCATCAACACATCGAGACCTGTCCAATGAGACCTGTCTGCCACGATTTCTGAGCGTGTCTGCCTCATCTAGTCCCTGTTGAGGTTTGCCCATATCATGCCCTTCCTGCACAAGTCTCCTGCTCTAGCTTGTGACGCGTGCAGCTCCCTGGCCATACGAAGCCTCTTGAATGTCCCAAAAGAGCAAATGTCAGGAAGGCGTCCTCGCTTACCACCACCGCCGTTGGGCAGATATGTCTGTATCGCTTAGCCCTGTAACTATGCTGACATGGAGGCGCCACTCTGGGCATAAAGTTGTCCCTGACTCTTATGTCTTTCTCGAGCTCTATGGCCCTTCAAATATCTTGTAAGATGCCAGTGATTCTTCTGGGAATTAGTTCGACATATTCAAGGTACCATCTTCTTCTTTTCTAAACAGTCTGCCAGTGATTTCTTTCCATAAGCATCGCAGAAAACCAGGTCACCGACTCCCACAACTATACTCCTCCTTACATCACTGCACGATCGGCAGGCTGACGCCGACTGACCGCTCAATACTGCCATGGCGGCACCAAAGTCCGCATTATGGCGCCAAGTCGGTGTGCTCTCGACTAAAAACTTCATCATACTTCTCGCCCGCCACCCCGTCTCAACTATCTACACCGCAATACTTTTACCAATCATACTCACAGTGTACCTCGGCATTGGCAAGAATCTCAACAGCCCATCGAACGAGTTTGGAATTGCAGATCCTCGACCTATAAGATCACTAGCGGAAGGCCTGGCCGCTTCTGATGGCTCTCGTAATACTGTCGTTCTCGTCAATAGCGGACTATCAGGCGGTGATGTAGACCGCGTAATAGAGGCAATCTCTGCTCAAGTTTCTGCAGCTGGAAAAATTACAACAACGATCACAAACCCTTCCGATCTTGGCTCCATTTGCCGCTCATCTTTCCGTGCGACTACTACCTGCTACGGTGCCGTCGTTTTCCATTCTTCCCCCACTGAGGGTGATGGAGGCCTTTGGAATTACACGTTGCGAGGGGATGGAGTCTTTGGGTCATCATTCAAGGTCAACAACGACGACAGTGATGTTCAAGTGTATACGCTCCCTCTTCAACATGCCGTCGACTCTGCCATTGCCAGTCTGAACTCGACAAATGGTAGTTCAGCGTCTCTCAAGAATGTCCAGGAATGGGGTTTCACCGACGAGACCGAAGACGAACGACAAGCCAGCGTCCGGAGGAAATACCAAAAGACCTTCATCGATTATCTGGCAGTCTCCTTTATCCTAGCGCTGATTGGCGTTAGCTACCATCTGCCCGGTCACGTCGCAACTGAGAGAGAGAAGGGGCTCTCTCAACTCATTGACTCAATGATGTCCACTCGCTATGACTGGGAGCCCCAGGTCATCCGCATGTTGTCAAATTTCTACTCTTTCGCCACAATCTACTTCCCAGGCTGGGTCGTCGCATCGGTCATAGCGAGGAGCATGATATGGAGAGAGACTAGCATCGGTGTTGTTTTAGTCTTCTTCATCTTGGGTGGCCTGGCTCTTACTTCAAAGCCATCCTCGGCGCGACTTTCTTCAAAAGGCTCAGCTTTCCGGTGTCATCAACTCTCTGGTCTATGTCCTCCTGGGTGTTTTGGCACAGGACTCCCTAACAAAGCACTGGCGCCGTCGCCGTCTTGAGCCTTTATTCACCCCATGCGCCTTCGTCTTCTTTGTGAGGTCCATGGCGCGATTTGAGGGCGAGGACAACCGATGAATCTTCTCAAGACGCCACCAGGAAGCAATTCTACCCTTCCAGGCATTGCAATCTGGATCTTCCTGATCCTGCAGTTCCTTTTCTACACACTGCTTGCCGCCTACGTCGAACGTCAAATTCATGGAGTCGGCTCCGAGCGTCGTAAAATCTACAAGGGTGACGGTGTCCGGCCACAAGAAGCTATAGTCATTGACGGCTTGACCAAACTTTATCGCCCGAGCTTTCTTCGACGGCTGTTCTCCTCCATGTCTAAGCCTCGCGCTCCTACAGTGGCCATTGATCGTCTGAATCTGACGACAAAGAGGGGCCAGATCCTAGCACTTCTCGGTGCCAATGGAAGTGGCAAGAGCACGACCCTCGATGCCATCGCTGGGATTAGCCGGTTCAACCATGGCGGTGTCTCCATAGATGCCTCCGGTGGAATTGGTATCGCGCCACAAAAGAACGTTCTTTGGGATGAGCTCACCGTTGCCGAACACATCACGATCTTTAATCAGCTCAAGTCTCCGTGGAGCCTTGCGAGTAAGGAGGACTCCAAGCAGTTGATCGACTCGATTGGCCTATCCACAAAGCGAAAATCCCAATCACGACATCTATCTGGCGGACAAAAGCGCAAACTTCAGCTTGGCATGATGTTGACTGGTGGAAGTGCCGTCTGTTGCGTTGATGAAGTGTCTTCTGGCATTGACGCGCTCTCAAGGCGGAAGATCTGGGACATCCTTCTTTCGGAACGTGGCAAGAGGACTATCATTCTGACGACGCATTTCCTCGACGAAGCCGACTTACTTGCCGATAACATTGCGATACTATCCAAGGGCAGCCTGAAGGCTGAAGGCTCGTCTGTAGCCCTGAAGAACGCTCGGAGACGGCTACCGTATCCACGTCCTCAATGCAAAGGATTTGAGAGCTCCTCCAGAAGTACACGGCGCGACATTAGCTGTGTCATCAAATACCATCATCTACACTGCCTCATCGAGCATCGCCGCCGATGTAATCCGTCACCTTGAGACTCAAAGCATTTCCTACCGCATCTCCAGTCCGAATATTGAAGATGTGTTCCTCAATGTGGCCGATGAGGTGCAAGGGGAGGATCTTCAGCCCCTTAATCAGGGGAGAGCCCATGGGTCAGTCGACTCTGGCAAAGGTCTCACAGAAAAGTCTATTGTTAATGGTGGACAAGACTCGTTGGGGATTCAATCTGGCCGTCAGACGGGAATTTTTGAGCAAATCCCTACCCTGATTCGCAAACGCTTCACATTATTCAAGACCAACTGGGTTCCATACGCCATCGTATTTGTTGTTCCGATCGTTGCAGCAGCAATTATGCAGCTCCTTATCGCCGACGAGAGCCCTGCTAGCTGCGATGTGGCAGACTTTAGTCAAGCTTCTGCAGAAGGCTTCGATGACTACAGGAAGGCTTTTGACCGAGCTCTTATCGCTGCTGGTCCTTCTTCCTCTTTCTCTAGCTCATCATTTGGCGACCTTTTTGGCTTCTTGCTTCCGGGACCCAATAGCTCCACGAATACCGAACTTGCGCAAAGTGCCACCTACGCCGACCTTACGCGATACATGGAAGACAATCGCAAGAATGTCACTCCAGGTGGTTTCTGGGTCGGCAGCCCAGACACGCCCTCAACAGTTGCCTACCGAGCAGATAATGAGGGAACAGGGGCAGTCCTCGCAGCGGTCATTATGCAGAACCTGCTCAGTATCGTCAAAACAAATATCAGCATTGCGACCACATACACCCCATTTGACAGCGTCATCCCCTCCTCGACGTCATCCACAGTTCAGTTGGCCATCTTTTTCAGCATCGTCTGCTCAATCATTCCATCGTTCTTTGACTGTATCCCAACGCTGAGAGACACAGCCATGCTCGTGGCTTGCAGTACTCCAGCGGAGTGCGGTCGCTATCTACATGGACGTCTCACCTCGTCTTCGACTTCGGAGTCTTCTTTCTACCTCTCCTGGTTGCAGCTATCATATTCGTCGTCTCTTCGGGCATCTGGTACGCCCGGGCTACCTGTTCTGTTCTTGTTGTACGGCATCACCTCGATTCTGCTGTCTTATGTCATTTCGGTCTTCACCAATAGAGTTGCGACTTTTGCTGCAATAATGGCCTACAACAGTGTCGGTTTTGCGATATATTTGATCGCCTTTCTCTACATCGTCACCTTTTCGCCGTCCACTGTTACAGATCGCAATATTCTGATAGGGCATTACACTATCTCGGCCTTCTTTCCTTCCCGTCACATCCGTCTTCCGAGCCCTTCTCATTGGTCTCAATACCTTCTCGTTGGCATGTTCCGCTACCGGTCTTGGATATCCAGGCGCAATCAAGGCGTATGGAGGTCCAATCCTCTACCTCGTCCTGCAGGCGATACTGCTATTTGGCATTCTTCTCTACCACGACACTGGGAACAAACTACCTGCGATCTTCAAGCGCAGCAGGAACTCCAACGCCGGAGTTGAACAAGCACACGAAGACCCAGAGATTGCCAGCGAGCTATTACGGGTCGAGTCGACTACGAACAGCGACGGCCTTCAGGTCAAACATCTGACGAAGAAGTTCGGTAGCTTCACAGCTGTTGACAATGTCTCATTCGGTGTTCGCCATGGAGAAGTCTTCGCGCTTCTCGGTCCCAACGGTGCCGGAAAATCGACAACCATCTCACTCATCCGGGGTGATATCCAACCTAGCCGTAATGGCGGCGATGTTTTCGTCGAGCAAGTCTCCGTCATCAACCAGAGAGCACGAGCCAGGACAAATCTCGGAGTGTGTCCACAATTTGACGCAGTCGAGTCCATGAGTGTTCTTGAACATCTCCGCCATTACGCCAGGCTGCGTGGAGTTGGCGATGTTGAGAAGCAAGTTGAAGCCGTTGTGCATGCCGTCGGCCTCGATGCCCATGCCAACGTCATGGCGCAACACTTATCGGGGGGCAACAAGCGTAAACTCTCCCTCGGCATCGCCCTCACAGGGAACCCGTCGGTGATACTGCTTGACGAACCATCTTCAGGCCTCGATGCCGCTGCAAAGCGCATCATGTGGCGAACACTAAGCACAATTGTGCCAGGTCGCTCTATACTTTTGACAACCCACAGCATGGAAGAGGCTGATGCACTTGCTGATCGAGCTGGCATTATCGCACAACGCATGTTAGCCATTGGCGAAGTTGACCAGCTTCAAAGTCGCTTTGGAGACTCATTATATGTTCATCTGGTCAGTCGCACTGCTCCATACTCGAAATCGGAAGAGATGGATCGCATGCGAGACTGGGTTCTACAGCAATTTCCCTCAGCCCAAGTGGAGTCTCAAACATTTCACGGCCAGTTGCGGTTCTCAGTCGCGGCATCAGATGTGCTGCAAAGATCTCAGCTGAGCCATCAGAGCAGAAGAGAGATGCAGGGTGGGAGAACGGCCAGTTGAGTGCAATTGGTCAGCTTATCGTGATGTTAGAGGAGAACAAGGATATCTTGGGCATCGAGCATCATAGTGTCAGTCCTACGACGCTCAACGACGTCTTCCTTTCCATCGTTGGGCAGCATGATGTGCAAGAGGAGGGTTACGGAACAACTGCTACATCTACTGAGAATGGAAAGAAGATCAACTGGCGAAAGATCTTACTCGGATTCTAGCCTCCGCTTGCTATGTAATGTTATCGTTGTTGCCTTGTAAGACTAGGGATAATTTGAATGGCCCAGAGGGTTTTAATCTAGACCGTACAAATCCATTATCGTAATGCTTCCTCCAAATTCGTCCTCGCCGTACTAGGATGGTATGAGAGTCCATGTTGTGAGGCCTCCAATCCACGAAACAGTCATCCAAAGGTCGAAACATAGCGCATAGTAATACAGAGTACCTACGCACTCAGGGAGCTGACTATGGCACATGGAAAATCTCCTTGATGGGAAATGCACTTGTACAACCTTGAGGTCTGCTCAAGTCAGGTTAGATACCACCTGGCCCTTTCTGCCGAGCGTGTAATTTGTGGTTGTGAAGGACGCAAGTCAATGATCCGAGCAGGCTACTTCAGTAAGTAGATGAAGGTATCAATAGACAGACTTCTCCTCATTGGGAATGGCGACTATCGCAGTCCTACTAGTAATACCTCAACCTTTGTCATAATTCAAGGGCGTCCTCGTCTAACACCACTTCCTCATAAGCATTCTGGCGAGCTCCACTTCAAAGCTGAGGTGCCTAGAACCGATCTGTCGTATAATATGTCAGAACATGTCAAACCCTCAAGACCCTGTAGCACGCGAAGTCGCGGACGAACTCCTCCGGCTACTTGCCACAATCAAACATATCGGGCGCGTTGTGAGATTCCCTGAAAAGACTAGAGTCACTGAGGTGACTTTTTTGAAGGCTCTTTGCTCCACTTGGCTTAGTTGACATCTTTCTGACGTCAAGGTGCTCGCCTTAATGCAGGGGAGTGAGACTGATCATGAACCCGCTTTACAAATATGGGAAGGGCAAGCTGATGCTCAGTGATCAAGTTAATAGTGACTCCTGCACGCAAAACTGGAGCGTCTGATCTGTTGGGTTGGAAAGGCCCGATGGCCTGCAGAGACCGTCAAGATTGATACGCTACTTGAGAAGGCGAGTTGGCCCCTGATTAAGAATCGATTAAACTGAGCCTGGACTTCAGCTGAGAAGAGGATCACCCGTATGGCCCGCTAGATAAACTACATGTACTGGCCGACCGAGCAAAGCCCACATTGACTCAAGGGACACATGTATCAGAGCATTTAAATGACGAATTGTTATCCATCCGGACTAAGATGTCCGCTCTTAATCTCCACCATTTATGCTGGTGAGGTCACATAACTGTGGGTAACTATGTCAATCATAGGCCACCAAAAACACCGCGCCGGAGGTTTTGCGACGGAAGGTGACCTTGCTCTTGACTACAATATATACACTGCAACAACTGAGTTTAAAATTTCGAAGAATAGGCCAAAGCCATTCATTTATCTGCAGGCTACCGCACCTGTGCAGCATCCGAAATGCACATAGATACCGACGTCGACAGCGGCGGTGACCGAGGAACCGGCGCCGCAGCGCAAGCCTCCCGAGACGACCAGTCAAACAGCGTTCTGAATAGCCTCGATACTCAAAGGGCAGACCTTGTCGGGGATTGATGAAAAGTCGCTTACCTGAGCATGAAAACCTTCCATCGCAATCAGTCAGCTGGGACCCAGGTTGGCAACAGTAAGTGCAGCTCAACATAGGCTCAGCCTCGAAACCCTCGACAGCGTCTAATGAGTTTTCTTGCCCTGACTTAGTTACGAAAGCATATTTCTATGATGGTGCAGAAACAGTAAGCCTCATCCGAGCTCCACCTGCTCATTTGCAGCCACAGCTCACCATCTTCAGCTTTCATCATCTGTTTCTCGATGTTCCTCATTCTCTGCCTTTATTGGGGCATTGTGTTTCGCATCGAGGAAAATCTCACTTCCCTCGTCTGTTTTGTTGTCGACTTTGATGGAAAATCTGCTCCCTACAACAATATCACGCCCCTAGTAGGTCCGGAGGTCACAAAATTGGCAAACGAGACGCTGTGGAGCCTCACACCATCAATCGGATATCAAATACGCGACGCAAACGAGTTCGGGTTCGACCCAATGAAGGTTCGCGAAGCGGTCTATCATTTCAAGGTCAGCTATCATCATAAATCCGAACGCGACAGCTTTACTGCAAGAGGCAGTCTCGATCGGAAACTCTTCATACGATCCAACAGGCGCAGTCCAAATCATCACCATGTCTGGCCGAGATTCATTTATGACGTATAGCTACATCTTACCAAGCCTCACGTCTTTCACGTCAAGTCTGACAGAAACATTCGGCAAAACATGGGGCGGCATGGTAATGGCCAATGACTCCCTGACAAAGGAGACTCTGCGGCAAGCCGCGAGTGCCGTCAACCCCGGGGTGTCACCTTTGATGCTAGATCTCCGGCCGTTCGGGCCGCCTGCGGCAATTCCGGCAGTTACCTTTGGGCTAAGCTTTCTCATTGCCCATCTTGGTTTCACCTATTACCTTGCAGACGACATAGTAAGTCCGAGCTTCTGATGCTTTGATACAAAACTGACAACAATGTTGGTATGTAGAAATGCATTGTGCCTGAGGGTCATCCTCCCGTGCACTACTGGCACTACGTCATACGCAGATATTTATCACTCATGGCAGCCTACTTCTTCTTGTCGCTGGTCTACTGTTTGATCTCTCTTGTCTTTCAAGTCCCCTTATCCAACCCGCCAGCTCCGGCAGTGGAGGTTGCTAGGAATCCAAATGCTTATGGAAAAGCCTCGTTCATCGTCTTCTGGCTGTTGAACTTCTTCGGTATGGCAGCACTTGGAATGGCGTGTGAAAACATGGCCATGATTATCGGCCCTCGATGGGTTGGTTTGTGGTTAACGTTTTGGACTCTCACGAACACGTTGACCGGATTCTGGCCTCCCGATATTGCGCCCGGGTTCTACCGTTGGGCGTATGCATGGCCTTATCATCATGTGATTGAAGGCAGCCGACAGATTCTATTCGACTTGCACTCGCGCATTGGCCTCAACTTTGGCGTCTTGATTGCGTGGGTGTCGGTTAACACGATTTTGTTCGTCCCCGCATGTTATATTTTGAGGTGGAAAGATGAAAAAGAGATTCGTCGAAAGGAGACAAAACTTCCACACTTTCACTTGCACAGGTATGATTTCGAAAAGCAAATTCCCAAGCAACCGGGAGTTGAGCCGCCAAGACGAAAAAGGGGATTCCTTAGGGCTTTGTGAGAGCGTCGCGATTCGACTAAATAGTTGATAGCTTTTGGAACATGGCATGTAACAATGTGCTGCAAGATGGCACACTTGAGTAACGCGCTGACTGTGAAGCTCTCAATACAAGAGATGTAGCAAACGCGGGTGTCGCAGTGAAGACATGTCATAGCACAGCAAGGCGGATTATGGCATAACTCCTTACGCGACCATAAACCCACGGGTCACATTCAGGACCCTTCGCTGAACTTACGCTTAGGTGCAAGAGATTGCCGTTGATTTTGACATGCAGCTGTATCCGATTATGGAACCGATGATACGATTGACTCTCTCGGTGCGCGTTTCACTCGAAGCATCCCTCGCGGAGCACTATTGGCCGTGCGAAAACATCTGACGACCCCATTCCACCACCAGGCCGCTTCTCGTTCGCCTTGGCAACAAACAAGTATGAGAGCGAACGCCATAGTGCCCACCGCCTGCACATAATCATTGGTGATCCTGGGGCCTTTGGTTCTG